AATTAGAAAGTAATTATGTCCAGGGATATAATGTAGCACTCTTATGCCACCATCACACATGTATAACAAGGTATTAAACTGGAATTCATCCTCAGCCTGAGTATCTGGAGATAATTTAGATATGAACAAAAGAAAATAGGTAGTGTATCTTGTAATTCCTGAATTTATATTATGAGGGAAGATAAAGTTCTATCAGAAGATTGGAATTATGTCCCCCCAAAGCCCACAGTTCTTCCAGGTAATGACACCCACCTCTCTATACACCAACACACACACAGAGCTCTACTCCTAAGGCAGGAGCTTAAAATGGCTAAGACTGGTAATGGCAGAAGATTTTGTGCATCTTCTTGGGTCTTCCAGGGGCTGAGACACTACAGCAAACTCTCTCTTGGACCCATGTTTTCCCACTGATGTCAGGTGGGCCAGCCTCAGGTGGAGATTTCCCATTTCTCACATTTGTTTGCTGTTTTGCTGCACTTGAACTGTCAGTTTGACATTTTACATCCTCAACATGAGCAGGGCAGATATAGGTGGGAGGTGGGCAGGCAGACAAAAACAACAGTAAGGCTGCTAAATGCCTTTCTGAAGAAATGCATGTTATCTGTACATCTGTTTGAGCTCCCCCATGCTGTACATAAACCAAAACACTCAGCTGAATATGTATTTAAGGTAAACACTGGACAAATGTCTGTGTTGAGCTGACAATGGCACAAATTTGAGCTGTGCTACTTTCTCAGAAGATCGAAAGACCCTCTCCCCACATCCACTCCAGCTTGGGAAATGGTCAGATGCTATGGTGTGAACCTTACAACTCAAAAACATCTGAAAGAAAGTGACTTACTTAAAAGTACATCTCAGGTTATGCACAAAAGCGTGTGGGTTACACAAAGTTAATGAAAAAAAATCAATTTAAATGTTGAAGCAGATAATTTTTCTACCAACCACAGGAATCTGCTGAAAATAAAAGTATATTTTGAGAACTGGGGGAATAAGGGAAGTCTGCAGAAAGTACTGAATTCAGCAATCTCTAGTCTTTCAGTGTTTGACTTTGGCACTGCGATGAACTTCTGTCCTAATTTATTTGGCTTCAGAAAGACAGAACTGGAAAACAAACAGATAATAAATAATTATTGATGTGGAGTCCATTACTAGTGATTACAATGTTCCAAATCACCATATGCATGTTACCACTGTGACACTGTCGTGATTAGAAAAAGTATATCATGAGTTCTGGTTAATATACTCCAGAGCTGACCAGAGGACTTTCATATTTAATCAGTGCTATTCAGCAAAACTCATGGTTCAGAGCCATGATGGGGCCTGATAACTGTAGTCTGACTGCATTCTGTACAGTTATTTACTTGGAAATCATAGAACAGTGATCCCAAATTAAATATTGTTTCCCATGACCTTTTTGCCTGGTAGATTGGGCACAGGAACCAACCAGGTCCACACCACTGGAAGCCAGTGCAGCTTTCCCCAGGACCCTGGCACACTTCAGAATAGATGCAAAGGGAGATGTGATCTGCAGCATCCCTGAGTCACAACATCTTTTCACAGGAAACAAGGCCCCCATCTCTGTGGGCTGGTTCTCAACCACAAAGACCTTCAACCTCAAAGTCCCACAGCCAGTTCCTTATAGTTTTCTTATTAAATCCAAGCTTTGGCTCATCCTGCCTGCTGGCTTTGCATTACCATAAATCCTGATGATATTGGTGAGATCAATTCCCCAAGGTTAAAGGGCCCTCTTTCAGATGTCCTAAAGATAAGTTAAAATATTGAATGTCTTCATCAATTTCTAATTTTTCTAGGATAAAAAACAAACTATACTGGCCCTTGAAAACATCTACAACAAATCATCCCACATGGCAAATCACCCTCATACAAATGCCCATTGAGTAAGTGGACATCAACCTGCCTCCTACAGCTCTTAATGCAAAACAGCTAATCCATAGGTGATTAATCTCAAGGAGCCTTTTTCTCTCCCTCTGAATCAATGTCCTTCCTTGGAAAGCTTCACACTCCACACAGCAAAAGGAAGCTGGGAATAATTTCCTGCACTGCTGGGTCTAATTCCTGCTCCAGCAGAGCAATGTCACCCAGACAAACAGAGCTTCAGGCTGCCATTCTGGCACTTAAAGCTTCTTGCCTCTTTTTCAAGTTTCTCTCTGAGACAATCCTTGGCTTAAGTGAGAGACACCACCACCAACATCAAGGTGATTAGTTGAGTTAAATTAGTTGTTTAGTTTAGTTTAACATTTATTAAAACTGAGAATTTATAACTGGAAGCCAAACATCTGAAAATGTAATTCTCAACCAGACCTAGAGGAAAATGCATCAGTGGAAATGCATGGCTCCTCTGTTGTCAGGACTGGAAGACACAGTTTACTGCAGTATAAGGCCAGCATTAAAAGAGGTTATTCTGGAATTAATTTATCTTTGTAGCCCTAAAATCATCTGGTTTGCAGTACAAAGAAGGTAAGACCTTCTTTGCACTTACCCTCACCAAACACTGATGGTTCTGTTTACTTACATTCCATCTTCCTGCCCCAACTCTACACTCTTTGCTCCCCTCCCTTCCCCAGGAAGAAAAAGAGGATCCAAACTGCATACTTGAAGCACACTGACACTCCCCAGTGAAAAGCGATGGTAAACAAGTATAACTGGATATGATAGAAGAGGAAAACACGTTCTAGATTGGAAAGAAACTTGCAACTTATAAGGCTAGGAATTTTTTTTTTTTCTAGATAGAGAGGCACAGCTGATAGAAAAAATTGATAAGCTTTGTGACCCACGAGCATATCTTCAGATATCTAACGGGATATCTGCAGCTGCATTTTTCATATAAAACTGCACAGATTAGAAATTCAAATGTGTCCCTGAGTAATGGTTTTTCCCATGACTGCACTTGCTAAGCCACACTGGCCAACATAATACCCCACAATTAACCCTACTCACCACCTTTTAAGGAAAAAAATTCCTTTGAGGTCATGCCTAAGGCAAAGCTCCTCAGAATTTTGCTATGTGCTCATTCGGGTCCCTAAAAATGTTTCACATCCTCGTACCTGCCCCACAGTTCAAGCTGCACCCAGAGATGGTCGAGCAGACACGCTCACTTCACCCTTTTGCTTTGGGTGTCCCTAAATTACACTGCTACTGCTTGAAGAGGATGGCAAAGCTGTGTTCCAGCAGCAGGATGCCACACATGTGTGCCACCTCCTTGCAGTCTGACAGGCATAACCAGTCCCTGGTTTTAAGGCACAGATACAAGTCAGCTCACAAGGCAACCATGCTGCCTGCTGGTGTTCTGCTGCCCCGAGCTTTTGCTGCAGTCCTGCTCCTGGAAGCCAATCCTCTCACCTCTGCTTGTGCAGCTCCATATGAAGAGATCTCTAAGGCACTGATGAAGGCTGTCTTAACTCACAGGATTGCTTTCACACTGGAATCTGTAAGGGACTGTTCCCAACAGCTGCATAGCCAATGTTACTGTGTAGAAGACACAACTTTTCAACCAGCACAGAGAGATCCAGCACAGGGTGTTTGCTTTACAACACAAAGCTGCCTGAACAACTGAGTTGAGTTTTGTGATCAAAATCCACACTTTCAGCTCTACAGTAGATATTGAGGTCTGATCTCATTTATTCTGGGATTAATTAGGAGCAACATCTCCTGTAGTCACTGCTTTCATAGGTTAAAACTGGTATAAAGTAAAGAGAGTCAGGACCAAGGAATCAATCAGGCTATGTCTTGTGAGCACAAGTACTTAGCAGGAGCTTCTACTCACTGTGAGTTTGCTTATTAGCAAAAACAGGTCTTACCACCAGCATCAGGGATGTTGGAGGGCAGGCTCACTTCCTGGAATACAATCAGCATTTCCTGGGTTCAAGTCGTTCACAGGCCAAAAATAACTGCATTTCAAGTGAGCTTCTACTCTCTGCTATTGGAAACTGCCTGCTTTTCCATTCACTGCAAAGTAAGATTGGACACAAGCTTTTCACAGAAAAACAAAGTTTATTCTTCTTTCATTACTGAGGAGACATTTGAAGAGAAGGACACAGGGAATGTCACTGCAAATACTGTCACCAAAACCAGCAGGAAGACATTCTCCCAAATGTCTGACTTCATATCCTAACAGGGGAAAAAAAAAAAAAAAGCCCAAAAAGCTACCCCATACAAAACCTAAAGAAAAACCAATACAAATTAAAAAAAAAAAAAAAAGGCTTCACTGTTGCTTTGAAAACTGCAGTTTGCACTTCTACCAGAAATTTCTCATGCACTGAACCTGTACAATGTAAAAGGGTGAAAGCTGGCAGTGAGAGACTGTAGAGCCTGTAGTTCTTGGTCCTATGTCAGTCTACTATGTAAATGGGCTTTTCTACCTCTGATCAAGTTCCAAAATTCCACAAACTATTTTGAAGACTTCCAGCCACTGTGGTTAATTTACCACAACTGCTCACTATTTTTGAAGGCTGTTGCTTCTTGCTCTGGAAACAATGTCAGTTATACCAGGTGTCAAAGAATTTTAAAAACCACACTACATTAGACCTTTCTGTGTTGTTTAGCATGAAATTGCAAGGGATGAATGGAGACCATGACACAAACTGCTATAGTTTCTGGGAGCAGTTTCAGCCAGTTCCACCAATCATTTTTTTACTATTATTTCTCACATTAATAACAGAAAATAAGACTTTGCCCAAGCAGGCAAACAAGCTACAGGTTTACATTTACCATGATAACCACAACAAAGGATATCTTGTGTGGAGACTAGTTAAAAAGTTAAGAAGCAGACAGCATTATCCTGATAAATTTATTGCAGGTGGAACAGGGAAGGATACTTGGGTCAGGAATACTGATCCCCCAAAACACAGCAACCAAACAAACAAATAAAAAACCCGTATAAAATACATCACTTTGGTTAAGATTATTTTGGGGATCAGTTAGTAACTTTTAAGGTTAAATTTAAAAAATGCATGTATATATTACAAGAAGACATGACAAAGTTTTTTACATCTTGAGTATTTTTTTTTAATAAATTATAAATATTTACAGAAAGCAGTAGACAAAAGTCCTACCAAAAGTGACTTGAATGCACCGTGTACAAGCTGTAGACTTGTGCAGCACAGCTGCAAATAGAAGAAGAAATTGTGGGAGTGGAAAGGGCATAAATTGAAACAAGGGGAAACCTGAAACCTCTGATCTCTGGTTACCAGTGTCAAACCTTCATGATTCTTTACACATACCACCTTTAAAATTAACTAAACTGGCTTTCAACTTTCATAAACAACCAGCATGTAAACATAATGAAAAACACTCCATAGCTTGATGTTCTGAAAGGATTAATGCATGGTGTTTTTCTTTTTAAACTTCATTATATACACAACCTCAGTTTTCAAGTTTTTGTTCTACTCTCAAGCAACTTAAAAACATACTATTATTTCCTAGGAATGAGTAGTAGTGAGATGACATTCTTAGAAAATATGAAGTGCAAAGGCTTAAAAAGCCTAAAAGTTAAAAAAAATATAAAAATTTTTAGGAAAAGCCCAAACCTGTTGTTAATGAGAGCTTTGTTTCAGTGCAACAACAAGCTGAAATGTAATTTTATCACAGAATGAATGACTGTCAGGACATGATCAGTTTGCCAGGCATTTAGCAACTCTAGGACATAGCTTTGTCTAGAACCAAGATTAGAAAATGCAAACTTCCACCCATCTGGGCCTGCTGAAGGATGAAGGTTTTTTTCTGACTGTAAAAAGGCACTGATAAAAAAGTGAAAGTTGACCAGTCTTTGATTTTTCCACATTCATGCAAATATATTAAGCTTTAAATCTCTAAATATCAACTACAAAGAGGCTTTAGTGTGTTAGTAAAAATAACTATAAAACAAACCATATAACAAACCATAAGGTTTGTTAAATGTTGAACCATATGGTTTGTTAAAATCATATACAACAATTCAAAAGATTTTGTCCGTGGTTTGGCCTATGTGTCTTCACATAGTGGCACTAGAAAGAGAAGGCTGTCCTTCCTGAGGAACAGAAAAATAGGCACTGGAAACAGTTCAGTCTTTAAAATACTTCTTGATGAAGCTCTGACAACTTCATTGCTTGTGGAAGCCCTTCAAGGGAAAAGGTAGCACCTCATTCATCACTGATTTCTATTGCTTCTCTTCCATATTTCTTTGGGCAACAAAGCAATTATTTGCTTATGGTTTAAGATCTGAAACAAAAGAATAAGAAAAGCACACAGGTAAATTACTATGTCTTTTCTTCTAGAAATTGAGCTAGCTACATGTGAATACTGCAGGCTTTAAATACTAATGAGGTGTTGTGACCAAGACACTGTCACATCACTCATAACAATCCAGTTAGAGAAGGTACATGAACAACGGTATATGATAGCCTCTAAACATTTAACCCAAATTATCTGTTTATGATTAGGCACATTCCTCTGCAACTGCACCACATTTAGAACATTTCTTACTTACTGCCAGCCATCTGCTAAGCAGCTGGTAACCTGTGAAGTTGTTCTGACTCCATGATTTTGGATCACATAATCAGGCAATTAAGACACTACTTCTATTCAAATATTTTATGTCTATGATCTCAAGATCAGCTATGCATCACACATGCATGTGTTGCTGCTGCTGTTTCTTCCACACAATAATGCCAGGTGCTTTTGGAGTTTTCTCTTTTGAGGATTGAAAATACAGCTCTTATTTGACAAGGAGACTGAAGGGAAAGGAAGTTACAGTGTAGGAAGTTCAAGACTACAGCCTAAGTCATCACATGAAACATGCATCAGCCCCTAACCAGGCTGGTTTCCAACAAGGCGCCCACAAACTCACTTATATTGGTGTTTCCACCTTGTTACACATGTAGCAACTCTGTAAGGGGAGCCACATGGATGTGCCAGGACACCATGCCCTTTTGGTCTTTGCTCCCATTTTGATAGCACTACCCGTCCCTTCCACTAATCTCTAGCTCAGCATCACTCCAGGATAAGATGTCAGGAGATGGTCTAGGAGAGCAGAGATGGTGACATATGCTACAAAACTCTGTAGGTGATGACAAAAAGAAAGCTGTCCCTAGTCTGGTTTTCACAATATCCCTGGAGAGGCTTGAAGTATTTTTATGATTTCTGTGTTTAAAATCCAAGCAGTTTTACTGCTAGTGATGATACTAAAGAACATGATCAAAAGTCAGTTGCATGTGAGTGTGTGTGTTTGTGTGCTATTTCCTCATGTCTGTGCAGTGAGAGGGTCTGAATATGAAATAGGGTTCTGTCACTTTACAGCTTCAAGGATAAGCATCAGGTTTCACATCCCCCCCACCCCCAGAACACACAAAATGTTCTGCTCTCACATGGTTTGCAAACAGAATCGAAGCAAGCACAGCTGCATCTATTGCCTCAGCACGACATACCAACAGGCCAGTTTCACATGCTAAACCTTTAAGGGCGATGCAGGAGCACAGTTTAGCCCAGCAAAGCAGCATTTCACATGGTAAAGTAATAATACACTGAATTCCTTAATTTGCCTTTCAGTATTACTCATTGTTAACTAATAGCATCTGACTCAGTCATTATGACACACCACACCTTCCTCTGCAGCTATGCAGACTGTTCCAAGTCCATTCCTGGTTTCATGACAGGTTCATCAGCAGTTTTGTCTGCAACACAGAGTCAAGTTTTTTATATTCAGTCCTAACTCTCTCCCACCCTCCCATTCATCCATGTTTTCTCACATTTGGAGATTTTTCACCCCTCTTTTCAACATTGTCTTCAGCAAATACCAGAATTTATAGACATGATTGCTTGGCTGGTAGTTCAACAGAAGTATCAAACTTGGCAGAACAAAAAGCCTTGCAGCAGTAAGGTGCCACTTGCTTTCACACTGCTGTGCATTTTGAGAATGTTTAAATGGATTATATGCACTAGCAGACTCCAAAGTGAGTGAGCACAAGGCAATCCATTGTGGTGCAGGAAAAAAGTATTTTTGAACCAGTAATAAAATGTTTAAAATATAAGTACTATTTATTTCATCATTATAATTTTTAAAACTTTGTTTTGTGCATGTTTTATACTGTATGTCATACTTGAGTATGGTAATAATTGTATATAACTTATAAATATACACAAATTGGGTGTGCATGTTCAAAGTATTTTACAGATGTGGTAGACAATCACAAAAGGTTTGTTGACCACTTACCTAAATATGAAAATCAGAAATTAGTATGAGAGGCCAACAGTTACACCACTCAAGTAAGGACTGTATAACAAACAAAATTACATTTTTCCTTTTTTTTTTCCAAGAAAGGAAAATTATTCACAGTTAACCTCTGTGTCAGTCAGCACACTCTCCCAAGACAGAGAGCTTCACCCTCACATACCTTCTTTAGTGCTGCTGGAAGAGTTGTTGGGCTGCCCCCCATTTCCACCTTCTGTATCCTGGGTCACTTCTGCAAGGACAAAGGCAATACCCAATCCTGGACCTCACAACACTCTGCCTCTCTACCCCATATGGATCAAGAACAATCTGACTGGGATTTGGACCATTTGTTTGGCAACAATAGTAAACCCTGACCAACATGCCTCACTCCCATGGGATCACCATCCAACACCACCCTTCTCTCCTCCATTCCTGACTCTGCACTGTCTTCACAATCCCTCACAGATCCTGTAAAGGCCAAGCACAGGAAGCTCTCAGTGCCCGTGGTGCCACCCTTTAGGTGGCATTAGGCAAAAGTCACACTGAACAAAGAATGCTCCACAGTCCAGGCACTTACCTCCTTCATTCATATCATGGCCATCTGCATGGCTACTGTGTGCATACACAATATAAAAAAGCCCCTGGAGAGCATCCAAAGGAGGGCCATGAGGATGATGAAGGGTCTGAAGGGGAAGCCTTATGAGGAGTGGCTGAGGTCACTTGGTCTGTTCAGCCTGGAGGAGACTGAAGAGAGACCTCACCACAGTCTGCAACTTCCTTGTGTGGGGAAGAGGAGAGACAGGTACAATCTCCTCACTCTCATGACCAGGCACAGTACTAGAGGAAGTGGCATGAAGCTGAGTCAGGGCAGGTTTAGGGTGGATATCAAGAAAAGGTTTTACACCCAGAGGGTGCTTGGGCACTGGAACAGACTCCTCAGGGAAGTGGTCACAACACCAAACCTGACAGAGAAACATTTTAATAACACTCACAGGGATATGGTGTGATTTCTGGGGTGCCATCTGCAGGGCAGGACCTGGAGTCAATCCTGATGTGTCCCTTCCAACTCACAGATTCTATGATTCTATGAAGGGATCATGGCCAGTTTGCCTACTGGGTCAGTAGCACTGACTGCTCCATAGAACAGGCACTTACCTTCCTGATTTACACCATTCTTAACTATCTGATTCTCTTTCTCATTCATATCCCTGTTCAGTGCTCTGTCTGAAACGAGATCAGAGAACAACTGCAGTCTCTCAGGAGCACAGTCCATTGCTTCTGGCCCTCCCCAGCACAGGACCAGAGCTCAGAGCACACCTTCCCCTCTGCATGTTAAGTACTATCACCAAAAGCCTTGCTTGACACTGCCCTGTACACACATTTCAGAGAAAATCATAGCCTTGCCTGCTATTTCCCATCCCTAGAGCAGTGACTGCCTGTTCCCCAGGTGCTGCTGGCTGCACTGCACAGAGGTGCACTAACTCCCCTGCCTGATGTTCCCATTCTATTCTGAAACAAAATAAAGCATCTTGTGCCTAAACGGAAAATCTTTATCTATGGACCTGATTTCTCTCTTGCCTGAACTGTGCGTTTCCCTCCTTTCTACTTTAACTCAGGTGTAAAATAAGCCTCCTTTTCCTATACCCATGTCTATGTATATGGAAACAGTTACACAAGTGATGACACAATCCTGCAGTGCACCACATCTTCACCGTCAGCTACACAATCCCTATTTCTTCAGATGAAAGAAAGCTGTTCCAATACATGCAGGAAGAATAACCAGCAAACCCCAGGGGCTTCTGAATTTTTCTGAGTTTCCTTTTCCTTATTGTCATCATTGGTGATTTTTTTTTCCTTTATAGGAAAGACTTCTGCCTTCTCCAACCCCTCCAGTTGGTGGAAGAATTAGTGAGTGAATGAATCACTAGTGCAAAAGACTGGGGAAAAAATGGACATTTTTTTCTTGAGTTGAACAATAATGTTCAATTTCACTAGCCCTTTGGAGTTAAAAGAACTTCTAGAAAAAATACAGGTCTCAGAACTTCCTTGAGATTTACACTGACTGGACTAAGAAAACAAAATTGGAGCTTTGCTTAACTGCCTGATGAATGCAGTCAAAAGACTTTCCTAAAGCATAAAGCAAGAGGAAGATACAGCAGGCTTTGCTCCTTAGAGAAGAACATTTCTGAATGAAGAACCTCCCAAATAGGAATTTTGCAACCTGGTAAGCATCCCATCTCTAAATTGATGTGCTGAGGCTCTTATCTTTCCTCCATGCTTGGTTCTTTTTCCCACAGACGGCAAAAGCAGCATCTTTTTCATCATATCAAGAGGAAAGGTGAAGCCCCAAGAAGGTGTTTGCTCTGTGCTGTTTACCAAACACAGCCTCCAGGTCTTTCTGATTTCTCTTCTAGTGAACTACCCATCAACATTTACTGTTCCTAAGGCAACAGGTTCTTCTAGGCCAACAGGGAATGGTAAACTCTGTACTCAGGACATGCTAATATGGCCTGGGCTACAAAAGGCCATATGCATAATTACTTTCCCCCTTCACGTTCCTCTGTTTTAGGGCTCCATCACACTTGTTACCTGCTTCAGGCTCTTCATTCCCGCAATCAACAGTTTGTGAAAATGCAGCTGCAAGAAAACAGAAATCCTTTTCCAGAAATGTGTATGGAGGTACAACAGTAGTCTGCAAAATATGCAACTCAGCCTTAAAGTGACAACTTCATTATAACACTTTTTAAAGATATTCCTGAGAACCACTATGTTATGTCACTTTAAGGACTCACAATAATTTCAACTTCCCTTCAGCAACCACTTAAGGTCCCAGACCATGATCAACATTGTTTATATTTATACCTACAACTTTATGAAAGTCTTGCCGATGTAGATCTATTGGTAAAGCTGCACAGATCTGCCATAAAGAGCCAGAGACAGCTGAGAAGAGAATCTGCATCTACTTTCTTTACTTCATCTGTGTTGCACTAACACTGTAACTTTAAAGCCTTGCTCTTTGCAGACCTTAAAGAATCTTTACTTTAGAAACATTCTAAAGCAAATTTAAGTGCAGTACCAAAATGAGTTTTTTTGGGGGCTTTACTGGGGGTTTTTTCCTACCCACACTTCTCATTTTCTCACTTTCAGATTCATCAATAGTCTTGACTTCAGTGGGCTCTGAACCGTGGGTGAGAACCACAGTTTTAACAAATGTAAGGTACCAGACTGAGCACCCACATGAAGGCACTGTGAGCTCAATACCAGAACAGTCCAAGAGGGCACTGAGCCTGCTAGCTGATGGCAGGAGCTCTGGCCACTCCCCACTGAAACACTGTTTGGTCTGGTAACAGAACATTAATCGTAAAAATCTTTTACCCTGCGCTCCCCAGCCTGCTTGACTGCCTTGGGGGTTAATTTTGATTGCTTCCTAAAAACAGACCACAGTCCTGGCAAGAAAACTCTTATATGTTAAAGCTAGAATATGATAGCCAAGTTCACCCCTATGAAAGGGGTACAGACTAAAGGAGTTGTCCCCTTCCTCAGCTGCTCGCTATATACAGTGATTTCCACAACCCAATACACAAGAAGCCAGAAAACAGCGCAATCTTGCTGCAAATTAAGGAAGTAAAAACCCCAAAAGCACTCCAACAAAACACTAAGAATAAAACAAAACAAAAAATCCACAACCAAACAAACAAAACCCCCCAAACCCCAAAAAAACCTCAATGCAGATTAGAACGGACAGCAAAAGCCCAGGCAGAGATCTGGACAGGAAGAGGAGAGGAATGACTGATTGCCCTACAGTGTGCACATTTCCAGCCCTCATCCTGAGGCCAGCCCCAATTCTCCATTGTTAGAAAGATAATACACCTTCAAACAACAGCTGCTGACCAGGAAAATCTCAGGCCCTTCACTGTCAGTAACTTTGCCAGCCCCACTAACACATTCACTAGGTGCAGGTCCCTATAATGATCCAATATTGGACCTCAAGTGAGATTTTGACTCTGCATATGCACACTTTGAAAACCAATTCAAAAGCTCAGACCCTGCAAAAAAGTAAATAGCAAATCAGACTCCCTGCTCCAACCAAGAGCAGGAGTTTAGAAACATTAATACTCCAATACAGGTTTCTAACTCACCTCCCTGTGAGTTAGATTGTTGTTCGCTGTTCCCAGGGAAAAGTTGCTCATGTTCTCCTGTAAAGAAATATATTTGTTTTAGAAAGTATGTATTAATGACCTGGAAAAAAATAACGACAGTCAAAGAAAACTTACTGCTTTATCTCTCCAATGAAAGACTACACTGACACAGAAAAAAAACTGACAAGCCCACACCAAGCATTGGTCTAATTTCCACACATTTGTGACACTCTTACCTGAGCCATTCATTGCACTGTTATTCTGAGCAGTCCTTCTTCCTGTACCAAGTTTAATTATACCTGCACACAAATAGAATATTTGGAAAAATTACTCAGAAACAAAGTTTTGTGCCTTTGGAAACTTGTTGACAGCCTCCATTCATTCCATCCCCCTCTCCAACCCCCAACCAAAAAATAATACACTTCACTGAGAAAATGCAACTGAATACTTGGAGGAAAAACAAAAAATTAAATACTGTTTTGAGGGAAAGATAGTCAGTGAAAGATTAACAGAATAAGTCTCCTGCGACAGCAAGTCAGAACACATCTATCCAAATCTAAGGTGGAGCTTAACAATTTCTGATTGTATGTCTTGCACTTAAAACAGCAAACTTCTGCTGTTTGATTATACCTGTGCAATGCTTATCCTACCAAGGTATAACAGGTTTATTTTCTTTCCCTCATTGTTTCAAGGGAAGTAACTGAACTGTTTTGATTCTAACTGATGGTCAGTTTTGAGTGACATTCTTTGTGTGTTAACACCAAGAGCAGTGTTGTTTAACACCACCAACATGAACAAGGACACAGAAGGCACTTTCAGAAAGCTTGCAGGTGACATCATGGGGAGAGTAGGGGACATGCTGGAAAGCAGGCTTGCCACTCAAACTGACTTCAACCACCTGGAGAAACATGCTGGCAAAAAAGATGTGCTATTCAAAGGCAAACAAAGGTCTGAATCTCTTAAGTCAGCCCATGGACCACTAGGGGCTGGGCTCTGCCTGGCTAAGAAACAGCTCTGCAGGAAAGGACCTGAAAGCATGAACAAGCTCAACATTACTCAGAAAAATGTGCCCTTGCAGTAGAAGGCTCCAAATACTGGGCTGTGTTAGCAGCAGTGCAGTCAGCCCATCAGAACAAATAATTCCTCCTCTCTATTCAATATTTGGGACACCACATGTGGAGCACTCTCTCGAGTTTTAGTCTCCCCGTTAATGTAAAAACACCATCTTTCTGAAGTTAATTCGGCAAATGTCCACCAAGATGTCTAGGGTCAGGAGCCATGCAAGGAGGTGCTGAGAGCCTCAAGAAGAGGCTCACTGCAGTGAGCAACTAACTCAACCTACAACTCACTTCAGTCTACAACTAACTACAGAAAACTCTCAGGAAAAAAAAAACAAAACAGGAGGCAATGGCTACCAGCTGCCAAAGGGCAATCCCTAACAGAAATAAGGACAATATCCATCCTACAAGGAGAACTATGCAAGTGCAAACTGCAGTGTTTCCTAGGACTCAGAGCCCAGTGTCAGAATGCAAGAAAGTCCAGTACATGATTTCCTTCAAATCTATTCCTTTTTGGCTAAATTCGACTTGTTCCTTCTATTGTTTTTACAAAACACTTGATGGTCAGAAATTTTCACACATTCTACAGAACCTTAGATGAGTATAATCAGGAAGTACATGAAGCTCAGTTAGGAAGTTTATGCATACCTTTCCTGAGCAGGAGTACTGGGATTCCTCCTAGGACTCCTACTAGGATAATAGCTGCAATAAGGTAATATCTGTGTCGTTTCTGAGAACTGTCTCCTTTTAAAAAAATTGAAAAAAAGTTAGTTAGTTAGTTAGTTAAAAAGCAAATGTGTGATACACTAGTTCAGCAGAGATACAGCCCCAAATATTTTTATAGCTATTTTTTAAAAAGTAATCTCAATAAATTAATGCACCAGAGTCAGTTATTAGCAAAATACTGAGCCATCTCCAGGACAGTTACATGCTAAGTACCTCATTTCAGTGAAGGCACATCACCACTTAAAAGGCAATGGCTATTCCAGTTCCTGGCCTATGAAAGGCTGAGCCAGATTTCAAACAAATGAAATTTCAGCAAATATCTTGTATTGGGTTTGCACTGCAAGGTTTTGATGGTTTCTAAGAGAAGATGCCAGAAGCTGTCCCCATGTCAAAGCTAATGCCAAGGTTCTGCTGCTGGCCAAGGCAGAGCCCACCAGCAACTATGGTAGTGTTTCTGGGATAACATTTCTTCTCTAAGAAAAGGGAGAAAATGCTGGACAACAACAGCAAGGGGGAGAGGGGAATGACAATATGTGAGGGAATCTGCCCAACAGACACCAAGGTCAGTGCAGAAGGAGATGCAGGGGCTGGGGCAGGGATTCCCCTGCAGCCCATGGAGGACCCCACATCAGAACAGGGGGTGCTCAAAGGATGCTGTGACCCCGTGGGAAGCCCCCACAAGAGCCCCCTGGCAGGACCTGTGGCCCCATGGAGAGAGGAGCCCACGCTGGAGCAGCTTTGCTGGCAGGACTTGTGACCCTGTGGGGAAGCCACACTGGAGCAGTTCATGAAGAACTGTGGCCTGTGGGAAGGACTCATGCTGGAGAAGTTTATGGAGACTGTCTCCTGTGGGAGGGAGCCCACACTGGTTCAGGGGAGTCCTGCCCCTGAGAAGGAAGGACAATGTGTAATGAGCTGACTGCAAGCCCCATTCCCCATCCCCCTGTGCTGCTCAGGGAGACCTGCTCAGGTAATGATATTGGGAGTGAAGTTGAGCCTGGGAAGAAAGGAGGGGTTTCAGGGAGGTGTTTTAGATTTGCTCTTGTTTTTCATTATCCTGCTTTTGATTTTGATTGGCAATAAATTAAACTCATTTTCCCAAAGTCAAGTCTGTTTTGCCTGTGACAGTAATGGCCAAATGACCTCTCTCTGTGCTTGCCTCAACCCATGAGTCATATTTTCTCCTTCCTGCCCCACAGAGAAGAGGGAGTGACAGATCAGCCTGAAGGGCACCTGGCAGCCAGCCAAGGTCAACCCAGCACATGCCTCTGTCATGGTTTGATATTGGTGCAATGTTAGTGCCTCACATCTAACAAGTTTGTCCAGTAAAGGAAGAATTCTATACTAGTAAACCATGATGACTACTTTTGCACAGTAATGAGAACTTTTGTCAGTTAGGGACTGCCTTATGCACCCTACACACCAGATGGTTCCAAACCTATTCTCACTCTGTTTAAAGAAACCCTAAAAATTCAAGCCTCAAGCTGAAGATTGTCCCAAAGCAATAAGTAACAAGAGAAAAACTCTCTTTTCCATCTTATACCTCTCCATGAGGGAGGACGGAACTATGCTCATTGACTCATGCACTTGCTAGATGAGAAATTATTTTATCTTATGACTGCTAGATGACTCACTTGAAATGGCTGAATAGTTTCACTCTAATTCATGGAGAGTAGTACAAAGAGGACAAGTTCCTAGCATTTATTATATAAGGGCAGAAGGTTCAGAAGAGATCTTCTAAGACCTTCTAATCTTTATTATTACTCAATCAAGTCACAGCTAAAGGTTTTATTCTGTGGAGATCCCAGCAAAAAGTATCTTTCCAGGGGGATCAAGCTGTCATCCTCATACTTTTCACAAACTTTATACACACTTTTAGCAGACAAATCACTTCTGATGCTTTTTACTCTTTAAATTCAACTTCCTGGGAAGTCAGAAGAAACCTTACAAAGGCCATGCTGCTTCCCAAACAAACCTCTCAGACCTGTGTTTGCAACATGACACACTTATTACCTTTTCCTTCTGGAAGGCATGAACGCAAAGAGATTTCAGACCTCCTTTCTGTTTGTGAAAATTTAATTATACATGTAGCATTGGTGGTAATATCAACATTCTTCACAGGGATGGAAAGCTCCTGGTTCTGATAGCTTTGTGGATTGTTACTGAGCTTCCAAGCATAATTCAGAGACCTCTGGAAATTTGCTGTACAGTTTAGCACAAGTTCATCATCGCTGGTGTTGCAACTTATTTTAGGTTTTGGAAGGGAATCTAGAAGGAGAGAAAACATTCTGTATTACTTTAGTTATAAACTACATAGAATTTCAGCACAGGACAAGGGCTGGAGCAACAAAAGCAGCAGGAGAGTGCATAGACAAAAGTGTGGGGGTATGTGCACACATGCCTGAGAGAGAAATGTGTTTCTGAAAGTGATCTGCAAACCACCTGTTTGTGGTTCTCCCATTCCTAGTCCAAGAGTCCTCGTGGTTCACCATCCACAGGATTAATAGACAGACTGGTCACATATTTCCCAAAGACTACTAGTGAGGCTGAGTAGATCTGCACAGGATGATGCCACAGATATTCAGGCGTGTGTAATATGCCTGCAGGAATATCTTTAATAGACATATAATGCCTGGGATTACCTCGTCAGCTTGCTCAAAAGGTTTCATTGTCTACCTGAAAGTGCAGTGTGCCATCTACACACCTTCTAGGAGTCATCCCAAGGTGAGTAATGATGGGCACACAAATGAGATGCCACCTTTGAAAATTTGTTCCAAGTGGCTAAGCAACTTAAAAATAGAGACAATGAACAGCCCCCTCTGTTTCTGTTTGCTTCCTTGACAAATATATAATGCCCTTTCTAGACATTTTAAATTGAATAGTGGTTCACATTCTTTATGCAGTTCTTCCAGTACTTACCTAACACAGAAAGTACAAAGTTTAAGTTGTGATCTCCCACAAAATCCCGGTACTGTAACTCATATGTGCCAGCATCACCCTTCTGCAAGTTAACTATAGTCAAGGATCCATTCTCCATAAGTACACTCCTGCTGCCGAGAGGATCAAAATATATCGGGTTGTTTTGCTCTTCCCATTCAACCACTTTATCCTTGTTTTTCTTCCAGGTAGCTTCCACTATTTTTTGGTCTATTTGTACTGGAAAAGTAAAATTTTCTCCCATGATGCCAACTATGTCTTCACAGTAGATGTGTGCTAGAGAGGGGGGAAAAATTAAAAAGTTATTTCAACCACTGTTTTATAAAACACTGCTTGACTAATGCCCTATTCAATATCAGATACATTCAAATTTAGGTTAGAAGCACATCACAAAGTTGCAAACTAAGATACACATCAGTTAAGAATTACCCAAACCCAGGTTGTTAGCACAATTGTATGACAGGCACGGCAAAGGAATGCAGTTTCCACATCCTGGTCCCAGGCAAAATAATTGCCCCAGTGATCTTCCCTATCCTAAGCCCCTCTATCCTCACTACTTTCCCTCTGTTCACTTGAATTAGGCCTCCTGACCATGATCTGCTGAAAAACATTAAATGAAGAATTGTCACCACCAAAATCTGTTTCAGCATCTTGTTGCAGAACACCCAGACTGAAGTTCCTGCTGATCAAATAAACTGCAATTTTTCCAGCATGAATATTCACAGTTAGTAAAAAGTACACTTCTGATGCAAAACTGCTATTGAGTTCAAAGCACCTGCTCTGAAGCCATGGGGGTATTGTGGGTTTCCCTTGAAATGTCACTTAAGCAAGTTTATTTCACAGCCAATATATGTGAAACAGCACTCCATCCTCTGAGACCTAGCAGAGTTGTCAGCAAGAATGAAGCTGTTCAGAAACATCCACTGCTCTCAGTTTCAAGTAAATTACATTCTGCTAAAAATGCCCAGGCAATCAATATAAATAAATAAACAAACCACAACAGATGAGAGATAAGAGATTTTCCCTAATTTTCATTGAAAACAGGTACATTTGTGAGGAAAAAAACCCCTACTGATCTAACAGACAAAATCCTGCTGTGGGGAAAGGACCACAACCTTTAAACCAACAGCATCTCTGTGTCTCTGCCTCAGTCTTCAGAAATCACCTCCTACTTTTAAATAACTCCAAGTGGCTCTAGAAGAATTGCAAGATCACTGCCATGGCAGACAGGAACATAGACTTAAGCACTTTGGTATTGAGTTCAAGTTACACTTGCATTTAGGAATTGATTTTGGTCCACAGTAGCTTGTAACTTTTTACTCCTATGTTGAAGGAAGGGCATGGTTAAGATACAAATGAGGTCTCGCATTAAAGCAGGATTCCCAATCTGCACCATGTAAAACTTGCCTTTAAACAGTAGCTATGCATGGTCAAACAAAAATTTCAGATGTAAACTCCTCAAGCTAACTGATTCCAAATGACAGCTAGTATTCTGGGTTTTATCTTTTTTTTTTTTATTCCTAAATGGCATCAGTTTGAGGACCCACCAATTCCTATATCCTGACAGACAGAATGTCAGCTAGGCCTACCTTTCCCACTGGTAAAAGACAGCGCTCTTCAGCTCTTCTGCCACACTACAGAAACACAGACTTTCTCTAACAGCACAATGAACACAAGCAATAGAAACTCACTTCTGTGTGCTTGGCTAGAGAACTACACACACGTCTCCTCTATGCATTACTTTCTATGGAATATCCAATTTATTTGCAATTTACCCGTGGAAACACTTTTCTCACACCACTGGAGTTGCAACTTCTTGTTGTCTGTACCTACACGGTCACCTTTCCCAGGCACAGGGTAAGCTATCAACCCCCACATCTTGTCAACATAACCTAGCTGCTTTCTTTGTAGTCTACCCTGTTCAGGCAGATTTGAACATTTTACTTGAGCATCTCTTTCCACCCATCTCAATTAATGATTTCCAGAAGAAAAAACAACTCAAACTCCAGACTTTGAGACTGGAGATCAAAAGATTGCAAGACCCTGGGTAGGGTGGAACATTATTTTGATCTGACAAAGCCTGGAGTCTTGTTAGAGACCTTTGTTTCATAAAGACAATTTCCAGAAGCACATATTCCTCAAGAATATGTGCCTAAGGACCTATGGTATTCCTAGTATGGAGAAAAACTCCCTGCTCTTCCCACTGTGAAATTCTACCTCTTAGTAGCTTTGGCTCACAGACACAACCAGGCTGTGGTGCCTTGAGATCAGCATAAGCCAAACCACAGTGGCTCTTGACAAGAGCCTTCAGCGAGGACAGCAGCTACTTGCTGGGCCCTGAGAACACAAGCAAGGACAGCCACCACTGCTCAGCCAACCACTCATAACTTCTTGCATTTGGGTGTTGATGCAGGTAAATGCTCCATGTCTTTATTCTCTTTCAGTTAGTCATAAGTGCTAGGCTGGAGTTATGAGAGCAAAGTTGTTGCTTCTTCAAGTCTAGGAGTGAGACTGAAAGGTAAGCAGACCTGAAAAAATCCCACATTTTCTCTCCACAGGTTCTGCATGGCACAGGGGGGCAGCGCTGTCTTCAGCACACTCTCTTCATGCTGGCTGGTGGAACAAAATCTTATCAGCAAGCAGCTGATAAGCTCCTCCCATTCAGGGCTCCCAGCAACAGAACAAGGAAAAGGTGTTTCCTCAAGGATAACAGTCATCTCCCACCTTAAAACATCCAATCTCTGTGTTTATTTCCATGTTTCACTGGTCTATTGAAAATGTGAAGTCTCCCACGCAGTGTCGTCAGCTTCCTTTTTTCAAAGAAATCATACAGAAACATTGCAGAAGCTCATAACCACGCATTTTTGAGCTTCTGGAAAAGCATGTGTCATCATGTTTTCTAAATTCCTGAGAAACCCTTCCCCATCTTTTCTACTTCATTTTATATGGAAACATATTTCCTATTCCCCAATGGCGAGCAAAGAGGGAGAAGTGACAACCAAACACTCTCTCAACACACTCTTTTTGGAAGGTTAGAACTGCCTTTCCTTTCATTTCTCTGCCTTCTCCCTCTCTTCTTATTGCAGCCTATTATTCCAAGATAAAATTCACACAACAGAATAGTGCAGTGCTAAGGCCTCCAGTAGCCTCTACAGAAACCATCAGACTACCAGCTCCTGTATCTCCTAAAACCCACTCCAAATTCCTTCTTATGCCAAGTCTTTGTGTTCTTTCCTTCCAGTCAAACCACATGCTCAAAGTGGCACAGATGAAGAGGAGTTAACATTGTGTGGGCAAAGCCTCTCCTGCAAACCACCAGCTCGCCCTGTCTACAACATCTTCTGCTCCCACTTCTCCAGCAGCCAGACCCACGCAACTCAGCACAACTCAGTGCTGTACTTGGGTTTTAATACTCCCCAGACTAATTCTGACTCTTTCAGCATTTTAGCAGGCTAAAGTGATCCATATTCAGTTCAGACTAAGTAGAAGTTAATACTACATTTACCAGCAATAAATGCTTAATTACTGTATTTGTCTACCTAGCTTGATTTGCTTCACTATTTTTCTTGGAGCAGACCTAAAGCCTAGTTACTTTGGAGAACATCTGTAAGCTAAGCCCTTTTTATTTTTAATGCTGTCATTAATATTTTTGGTCTCAAATACCTATATGAAATGCACATAGGTATATATTAGGTCTATACAGGCAGCAGCTATGCTTTCCTATTACCATTAAGACACTAACATGCTACCTGCTGAGACTGGGTGGAAAAGCCCTTACTAATAAGTTTATGGCAAGGAGCTATTTGCTTCAGGAGTAGGACTTTCTAAAGAGTAGATTTTTCTTTTAATTGTTGGAACTTCCCAACTACCCCTCTTCATCTTTTTTAGAATTTTGAATTTCCCCAGCAACTGCAACCAGCAGACAATTATGTTCCCTCCTAAGCCTCAAAACCACAAGGTGCAGAAAACCCTGAAATAAATGTTCAGTCCAGAAGGACTATGAGAATATTCACCAGCCATAGTCCTCTGAATCCCCCCACAGGCCACAAATCAACCCAATTCCCAAATTCCAGTGAGAAAGCACTTAGAGCCATGGTGTAAAAGCACAGGCAAAAGCTACAGTCAGGAGAGAGAGAACACAGATGACCATAAGCTGTAGCAGCAGCCCAGGCTGTTGCAAGATAAAATCAGATTTGTGTAGGAATGAGTGCAAATCCTACATGTAACATCCAAATCAGAGGTGTTCTCCTGCACCCTGCAGCACACTCAGAGATGTGTGTGTTGTTCTCCTGGACAATATGGGACTTCATCTACAGAGCTCTACACATCAGCAAAGGCAGGACCCAAGGGTGGCACCTACCTAGAGGCCTGGGTCTCTCCCTACCGCAAAATCCATACCTTCAGACATATCCCTCAGCAAGGGCCCAACAACAGGCAGCATTCCCATATAGAGGCTATCCAGTCATTTTTAAACTATGCTGGTGACCAAAAGCATGACTTACCTATTCTTCCTTCTCCCTTTCTTTGTCTGCCTGTTCCTGCGGTGGAACAGGCATGCAGAGAGTACAATCTGCCGACATGTTGTACTTCACACACATCCCCACTCCAACTATTGAAACAACAAAAAACCACAGAAGGACTGCAATTTCTGGATGTGACTCACTGTGGGAACACCAGTGCTCGTACATGGAATGGAGCAGATGTGAGCAAAATGTGGAAGAACAAGAATGAGAGCATAGAGGAGGGGCAGGCACTGATGTCTCTTCTGTGATGACCAGTGACAGGACCCAAAAGAACAGCCTGAAGCTGGTCAAGAGAAGCTTAGGTTGGATATTAGAAAAAGGTTCTTCACCCAGAGGGTGGTTGGGCACTGGAACAGGCCAGGGAGGGAGAGGACTGGGAATCACCACTTTTAGCACTGGTAAAATATTATGAAGGATCATTGAGTGCTGCAGATTACTCATTATTTAGTTTCTAGGCTTTGCTTAGGGGCAGAACTGACTTGCATTTAAACCTGACTTGAACTATAAAAAAAAGCAGTTGTTTGAAAGCAGTCCAGAGACACTGGACCAGGTTGCCCAGAGAACGGATGCCCCATCGCTGGCAGTGTTCAAGGCCAGTCTGGATGGCACTCTGAGCAATCTGGTCTAGTGGAAGATGTCCCTACCCATAGCAGAGGGTTAGAACTGGATGATCATTATGGTCTCCTCCAACTCAAATCATTCTATGATTCCAAATCGTCTGGTCACTTATTCCAAATCCTCTGGTCACTTCCTATGCTGTACAAGTATATCTTCATGTAGGCGTTGTGATCAACAGCACTGAGAAAATAATCTGTCTTGGTAACTCTTTCCTTCAGTCGGGTTCATTTTCAGACAGATCATCTTTGCAGTTCTACTTATAAAGTAGAAACTGATGCCATGGACAGGAACTGTTCTCAACCTGTGGCAACACCAGCTTAAACAGACACCAAATTACAACCTGTGTCTCTTACAAACCCTGTATCAGCCAGCCAGCCTGCCCATTGTCACACTACCCTGAACATGGCCAAAAAGTTCTCCTGAGGCTGAGAACAGATAGGAGGACCAGTAAGGAAAAGAAAACCAAAAATAAACAAATTTACATCTATTTTTTATGAAAACCTTTAACACACCCAGGATCAAAGGAGTCTGTGTATGTAATCCAGAGATAATCTTGGCTTTCTAAAGTCTAAAACCATTAATTACATTAAGGCAAGAAACTATCTGAAAAAATTTTCACTCTGTTCATTCTGTAGTGTTAAATAGCAATGGCAAAAAATTTGTTTTTGTTTTAATATGACATAACAACCTCAGCTCTTGTCAAGAGTTTTTAAGCAGAGGGCAAAGATTTAGTTTGACTTTTTTTTTTCCCTCTGTGTGAGGAATTTATAACTGATTATAATTCCTCTGTTTATTCAGGAAGAGAAAAAAAGACAGGACATTTAAAAATAGTAAGAAAAAAAGCAAGCCCAAACTTGTTGAACTGCCTAATGACATAGACACAAAAATCCATATTGAGAGAAATTTGGTTTCTATTAAAGGAGGATGTTATGATACTTGCAGCCACAATTACCCTCTCCAGCTGTCCAAGCACCATCAGCTCTTCCTTTCAATTGCAAGTTCTTTGGAACCTGAAATCTTTTTTCTCTAGGCAAATCTATAGTATGTGGATTGAGATGTGCAGAGTAGCGCCAGCATGCCAGCTTAAGTAATGCAAGGTAATAAAGTGCCTCGACTCACAAAAGAAGTTACAGGAAGATACTCAGTTAATCATGCCTTAGTCACACTCATTTAGAAATCTCAGCAAAAGCGCTGGAGGTGAGATAAGAAATTGCAGCTAAGGCTTAACATGGGCAGACTCGTGCAGGTGCGCGGTGTCTCGGCTTCTGCACCGGTCCTCCCTGCACACCGGGACCCACAGCGCTCTCTTACAGAACTGGATCTCTCTATATCAATTAAATAAAGCAAATTGAAGACCTCAGGAATAGTATGAGGAGGAAATTGCAGGGAGTTGCTCCGAACTCCGAGCAGCAGAGAAGTTCCTTTTTAAACAGGGAGATACAATAGCTCCTATTTTAGGCACATTCAGGAAACTCCCAAAGCAAAAAAAAACAACCCAAAAACAAAAACCCAAAAAAATCGAAAGTCAGAAGAAATCCATTATACATTACAAGGTCTTCATAGATTAAATCATGCTTTTTTCTCATGTTCACAGCCCAGTGCAAGGGCTATGCGTGTAAGGATTATGCTCCTATGGCACAGTGGTGGCATTTGGATTAAGAGGGCCTTTGACTACAATTTCCACAGTAATCATTACTTGTTGATAGCTATCATTTAAGTTAATAGAAATCATTTACTTATACCCCAACAATCTTACACACCCCAAGCTTCCCGTTAACACAAGTTTGAAACTAACGGGGCGGAGGAGCCTGCCGCCACTAGGGAGGGGAGCTCCCGAAGGTGCAGACGGCCGGTGTACAGGCTGACACACGGTTCTGGTTTCAGGCGGGGGACGGAAGCAGCGGCTCGGTTGTGCCCGCCGCCCCCGGGCAGGGCAGCGAGCCGGCAGCCGGGGACAGTGGCCGGGGCAGCCACTGTCGCAGGGCTCCTCAGGGGCTGGCGGCGGCTGCGGCAGCTCCCGGGCACCTCGGCACCCCCGGCCCTCCCGAACCCCTGCCCCGGAGCAAGCCCGTCCGAACGGCCGGGGGGTGCCCCGCTCCCGCTGTCCTGGGCGGCACGGAGGGAGTGAGGGAGTGAGGGAGTGAAGGAGTGAGGGAGGAAGAAAAGCGAAGGAGCCGGGAAGGGTCCCCACCGCGCTCTCACAGCTTACCCAGGAGGGGCGAAAGGCACAGGAGCGAAGCCAGCCGCCACATGGATGCCCACACGACCGCTGCTGAGGCAGAGAGCGAGCCGCGGCGGCGGCCGCGCCCCGTCCCGCCCCACAGCCGACGGCAGCTTCCGCTGGGAGGCCCTCGGGGCGCTGCGGCTGGGAGCTCCGGACGGTGAGGAAGAGGGGTTTCGGCTCCTGTGCCGCGTCGGATGCCATACATGGCCTTGGAGTGCCAGCGAAGGGGGTTTGTGGTTTGTGGGGCGCGACTTCTGGCGACGGAAGTTGTCGCGTTGCTCTTACCTCGGGGAGGTTCAGCTCTGATGACTGAAAACCTGAAAGTGAATCAGTTTAGTGGGGAGTGGGAGCCACGCAGATTAGGTGAAGAACGAATTTCAGCAGGTGGCACGCAGCTCGCCACCTCCGAAAATGATCACGGAATAGTTTGGGTCAGCTGCAACCCCTCTGCCATGGGCAGGGACAGCTCCAGCCCGTTTTACTCCCTGGAGCCTCCTGGTGTTTTTTGTTTTATGCTCACAAAAATGTCCACTGTTCTCTTCGAGGGACACCTGGTAATATCTCCTTTTGAGGGGTGGGCTCAAGGCTAAGCCTGGCTATGCTCTCCTGTTCCACCCAGGGTGAGGTTGATCTCTGGGGGAGGGGAGTGAAGGAAAAGAAACAGAACAGAAACCAACTCTGACTTCGAGGGGTGTTCTTTGGCACCAGCTGCTAAGCAGCCCATTCACAAAACTGAAACACACTTAGATTCTCTTTCATGAATGACCGGTCTCTTGACACTGCTGAGTGTTTTTGAGGAAGAAAGGGAAAACCACGATAGTCTGGAAAATGTAAGTACTTAGCAGCTATTGAAAAATTGCTACTCTGACAAATATTCCAGTAACAGCTGTGAGTGAGCTTTCCTCTCATGGCAGTGAGTTGCTGCGAGTGGATGTTTCAAAACTTCTTTGTATCTCACTCCCCAGTTCATTGTCCCAGCTGAGAAGAGTTCAGCTGCAGACCTTACAGCCCCAAAGCATGCTCAGCTCCCAGCAGCTTGTCTGTCTGTCCTGGGGAACACCAGCACAGCACAGTGCTGTGAGGGAGGCTCTCACCACAGGTTTATCTCTCAGTCAGATTTCTCCAGTACACTTGGCCCCCACACTCACTGATGAGCAGCCATGTCGGGCTATTCACCATCCTTTGAGAGACTTCAGCTTTGCGCTTCACACAACACAATCAGAAAAATAATTGGCAGCCATGGATATCTCTAAACAGAGGTCCTACCAGAATAAATACTGCAGTTATTCCAACTCTGAGGGATTTTTCCCGCTCCTTCTAGGAGCTACTCTAAGCTCCTTTGACTCATCACTGAAGGCTGCAGCACGAGCTGGAATGACACTGCATCTTGAGCTGAGTAATGCTCTCTCATTCAGTTGTTACTAAACCAGAATAATACTGATTCATTCTCCATAGCTCTGTTGTAATGCCATGACATGTAACTCGCTTACAGAGACAGGCACATCCCATAAATTTCTTCTGCTCAGTGACAGCTTGGAGCCTTTCTGTCCCTCAGTAACCTTTGTCCCCTGTGTTCTTAATCTCTGACAAGTGTCAAAGGGAGCTCCCTACCCTGTAAAGGCTCCAAGTCACAGTGTTTACACCAGAAATATAACATGGCCATCTTCCTGCAGCACTTTCATGGCAGAAGCACATGTTCTTGTCCTCTTGTCAGGTAAAGTGTCCTCCCAAGATGCCAGAGGCTTTGGGTTGAATCTTGTTGCTGAGAGGATGCTTGCACACTACAGCTTTCCTGTAGGTCATGAAATCTTCGAGGTTAGGAGAGAGAAATCCAAAGTAGATGGTTTCACTTTGAAACAGGTTATTTTAGGATGGAAGGAACCACAGGTGGTCACCCACATGCACTCAAGGCAGGCCCATGTTCTTCCTACTGAGCTGCTCCACATTGTACAAGATGATTTACAGCTTTATAGGGCAGAGAAACAGAGAGAAACTTGAACTGGAGGCTGGTGCCTGAAGCGATATGTGGAATAAATAAATAGACTCCACAACTCGATGTAGTTATGAAGTGGGTATGTATGGCAGCGCCCGGCACAAGTGAGATAACTCTCCGAAATCTTGTGCTCCGAGCTGAAGTTTGCCCCCCAACTTTATTCACAAAGGTGTTCCATATGCAATACATTACACAACTTTTCTATGCATATTCAACCCCTGGCCCCGCCTGTCTTCGCTTCTCATGCTAAATAGGTCCACGCCCTTCTGGGCATACGTAGTTTTTTGTGGGGGCTTTTATGAGGGTCCCTGGTGGTCTTTGAACTATAAACCATTATCTTCCTCCGCATTGAACTTTTGAATTCTTCTCCTTTGCGCTTGCGCTTTTGGTCCTTTGCTCTCCTATCTGGATAAGTTCATCATCCTTGACATGTTTGGAGACAGAGGGCTTCCTTGTCTGGAGTCTTGGCATTCCTGGTCCTTTCCGGTATTTGTCTTTTTGCAAGAAACTTTAAAGGTCTTTGTTTTTCTTTCCTATGCCTTTTTGTGCAGAGGTTTCTTAAAATTCAACACATGATTCTACAAACATGATACATTCATTTTTGATATATTCATTTTTGATACATTCATTTTGTTAGTTCAAGTGATCTCTGGAAAATCTTTCGTTTCATGCCCTCAACTAGGCTCTTCTACTTGGTAGTACATGGTAAGGATATATTCTTCCTTATACATACTTATACAGGCATACCAGGTGGAAGATCCAGGAAGTACTCACAAAAGGCTCAGATGGCTGTTTTTCCTCCTTTCCTGACAGAGTACCCAAGCAGACTTGCCCCTGTTTTCCCTTCCTCAGTTGCCAAGACAATCTTTGATGTTTACTTCCTGCCCTGTCATTGCTAAGACACACCTCTGAAAGCAGGGAGGTCAAATTGCTTTTTTGTTGAGATGAGAACTAATCCTGGTTCCTCTGTCAGTCCTGGAAACAATACACAGGAGCCTGCATGCTTAACACAGAGCCATGGTTGCTACTTCACAGGCAAAGTACAGGAGCTCTGAGACCAAGGGGGATCCAGAACTTAATGAACAGTGAGCTAAGCTCTGGGTGTATTTCACGCTCTTCTTTGAGTGCAAACCTCTTTCCACAGGGAGAAGTTTTAAATAGTCATCATTTGCTTAGCTCACACATAGTTTCCCCCAAGGTCTGGTGCTGCTACCCCAAATGCATTGTTTCCAGTATCAAAAATTAGTTTTTCAGGCTAAGTGAATTTTCCTGTGATCAGATTGCCACTTGACCATTGGCTATTTGCAGTGCTTATATGCCTCTGCCAGCTGTTGCTTTGTGAGAGGAGACTCAACACTTTCAGCTGAGTTGGACACTTTCAGCATTGGCTTGAATGTGCAGACAGCATATTTTTAAAATTTTCTTTTTAATTAAAAGAATTTGTGCACTAAATCAAGCTTTTTGCTTTCACTATCCCTGACATTCTCAAGCAAATCACACTGTGCTTCATGACTGCTGTAAGGGACTGTTAAAAGAAATCTAAAGTGGTTTGGAAGTCTTTGCAACAGTGCTCCAATTGTCATTATAATCACTCCCATTGGGAAGCAAAATAAGTGGCATTAAGTTTCTGAATTAATATAACTGTAATTACTCTGCAATTAAGTTCACAAGCAATAAAAAGAAAACCCTTTATATCAAAATAGCTTTACTTAGTAAGAGCATTTTAAGCACAGAGTAACTTGAGTGGCTTTTGCTGTTTGCATAAGGATTTGCCACGGTGTGCTACTATAATAAAAAAAAATCCAGGAATTAATTAATCTGAGAATTCAGATTTAGTAGACAATTTAAAAGACATTTCTTTTTTAAAAAACACCAGTTTTATGCATTTGCAAAATTGTTAAACACCAGGATGTTGTTTATCACCTCTGCAAATGCACAAAATAAAACCAAATCTGCAAATCTTGGCTAAAGTTTTGATTAATTCTAAGGCTGTAATAATGGTGCCTATTTATATTACATGGCATTTCAAAACTTCCAGAGGACTTGGCAAAGAAGGAATGGGCCTGTTGGAGTGCATAGGCTTTATCTTACAATCTGAGAATTGTAAGATAAAATAAGATGAATCTGGTGCTGGGGATGGAAAGATAAAGTATGGGCTGGAAGCCAGGGGATGGCTATTGGCATTGCAGTTTTCAGTCTTGGAAAACTGATTGGTTTGACAAACTCGGGCATATATTTGTGAGACACTGAGAACCTGATTCTCTGACAATAAGCCAGTTTGATCCTGGAGGCAAGTACTTCAGGGTCAGAAGGTATCTCAGTATGTATATCTGAGAGGATGTAGTTGGGGTGGGGTTCAATAGTCCTCCAGGCCAGGCAGCTAAGGCTGCCTTTTAGTGAAAACTGGAGAAATTTACCTCAGATGATTTGGAAATAAAATGAACTTCTGCCTAAAACAGCACCAAAGCCTTCAGCTGAAACAAACTTGGGGTAAGGAAATGACTGCTATCACCAATAGTTCTAAAGAAAAGTATTGTCTGATGCTTTTTGAAATATCTTTGGTCGTCTTCCTGATTGAAGTAATTTCTTAATTTGGTTGTTCAACTAAGCCACTGTAGATTAGTACCTGGACAGGGAATTTTACTTTGCTCGTTACCCTTCCTGCCATTTAGCACAGCCAAGGACAAAGCTGCCTTGTCCAGCATGATGGACCAACACAGAGGATACAGGTGTGTCCTTACCTGAAAGTCTATCTCAGCCAGGAATATGGTACCTCCTCATCATCAATGTCATGTTACACATCTGGGTGTGCATTTATGCTTCTCCATCTGGATACATCAAAGTGGTAAAGTTTTTTATTCAAAGGCCTTTGTTACGTATTTGCATGCTTATGATGCTGGTGTATTACTGAAGGGTGCCCCCGCACTAAGAAATGTAGTCTGGGCATGTTATGGTGATATGACCACCAGTTACAATTTAGCCTGCCTTTCCCCTGACTTTTCAGATGTAATCCACGGTTTTGCCTTTTTTAGACTGTTACAGGTATCTGACCAAAAGCAGAAATACAGGAAAGACAGCAATGCAGTAGGAAAACACGATGCAAGGCTGATATGAATCTTCCTGGCATGGACTTACTGTGAAGCCTTGTGATAAACCAGCATCAGTAGTCATAGTTTGGCAGAAAGGTCTAGGTAGCAAGGATAAAGCACTGTAACTCTATCGCTTGCTGGGACTGGTTTCACTGCCTGATTTCTGAAGTGAGAAGTTTCCCTTGAGGAAAGGGAGGTAGAGAGAAAAGGAAGGTCAACATCTCCTTTAACCAAAAAGTCATTTAAGCCTCTGCTTCAAATTTTGACTAATGGTTAAATAAGACTAGATATAATTGCTCAACATCCAAATTAGGTCATTTTCCCAAAAGTGCACAGGCTGACTGATCATTACAGAGTCAAGCTGATCATTAACCACAGCTGGTTTTCCTCTCTACAAGCCTTATTCTTGTATTGGGCAAACAGGAAGATGGTTGAAGATCCGAAGAGAAAACTGCTCATGGTTCTTGCTCTCCTCTTGCTGCCCAGCTCAGCACAAACAGGTAAGAAAAACACGACTTCCTGGCAAGGGATTGAAGGTTTTACAGAGAAGGATCTGAATTCAATTCTCCCTAAACAAGCTGTATGTCAAGAGGTCCTGGCAATAACCTTGTTACATTCTGGGGAGAAAAAGTGGTGCAAGAATTGTCCTTTCTTCTCTTATGCTTCAATTCAATCACCCTCAGTGATTTAATTCCATTAACCTGATTTACAAGAATGATCCAGGTTTACCTGGATGCAGAAAAGGGACCACTTGGCCTCTGGCAGTGGCATCTTTGCCACATTGCTTCAAAAGGTCAGTAGCTGAGAGAAAATAAACAAATGCCACAATTCCATTTCTTTCTTGAATTGTACTGTCAATGAGACTGCCTTAGAGATCACATCTACAGTCCCACATCACCTGCAGCTTCACTGCACTGCACCTCCTGCCATTTCTTTACTGATAATCCCTCTCTTCTTATGTCATTTCTGACTCTCACTGTGCTGGCACTGGACCCACTTTTGCTACTTAGACTGGCTCATGACCTACAGTTTTTCCAAGTGGATCTCTAAAAATACCTCTTTTTTCCTTGTCAGTGCACAGGAAAACCGAATAAACAGCAGTGAGGGATAGTCACATCATTCTAGGGGAATCTGAATATTGAATCTCACCCCTTTGTACTGACCCATAGACCATGTTTTGTCTAGCTGGTGTAAAGTATCTTCTGAGGGAAATTGGGAAGCTGATTATTCAATTTTAAAATACATAAATGAATAATTATTTTATTGTATGTCTGATTCAAGGCTGCTTTGCTTCCTCCAGTGCAGAAAGAAAGGTGCATGTATTGTTATTGCAGCAGGATTCCAACTCTTAAAGTGACACTGCTAGTGACATATACTGCTGAACTTTTGTGCTTGCTTTTTAGCCTAAATTTCCTCAGGTGTTTTACTAGCTACAGTTCAGATGTTTATTTTTTGCTGTCTAGGTCAAAGTGCCTTCCAGCAGCAACCTTTTCATTCTCATAAAGCATTTTCATCAAACAAATTAATTAATTGTGAAATTATCATTGACATATTTTTTCATCAGCATTCTCATACTTCTGGATTTTTGATGCAATTGTCAGTTAGACTTGCACCTTCTACTAAGCCTACCAGAATTTGAATACCCCCCATTCAGTGGTGACTACCTGTTGGCAACTGGTTTTTTAAAAATCTAATAGCCACCTCATAAATGTACTTAGTAACTGGTGTAGGTGTCCAATTTGCTTTAAAAACCCAGCAAAATATCACTCACCTCATGGTAAAACAACTCTCAGAAGTCAAAGCTGGGTATGATATCCATAGTTATTTTCCCAGACAGAGCTGGAATTCCCTCAAAGGACAGAAAAAACTTTATCAGTCAGGTAAAGTTTCCAGAATTGCCTCATTTTCATTTCTGCTAGATACTTTTAATCTTTATCAATAGAAGTGAAATTGCTACCTTCATTTTTGTGATGAATTAGAATGAGGAGTGTTTTTTTCCCATTGTACAGACCCAGACTAAATGTGCCACTCCCTCCCTCCTGTGCAGGGAATACAGACAGACTCTCAGAGCATCACTGCACAGACTTCCAGAGAGCCAATTTCCTACGGGGCAGGAAACTTAAGGTCCAGTTTATTCTGTTCACTTCCTCAAGCCCCAGATGTGGAGAGCTGATTTCAGATGATGATAGCATCAAGAACTGCAGCTTCAACAGCAGTCTGGAAACCAAAATCATCATCCATGGCTTCAGGTGAGAGAAAGAAGAGCACTGTGACTTAAGTTTTCACTGGTAAATTAAACACTGTGAGAGTTAATATCTTTATTTCCTTCTTTCTTCCTTCCTTCCTTTCTTCCTCCTCTCTCTCTTCCCACATATTTCTATTTCTTTCCTTTTTTCAACATTTTCCATTAAGAAGTCTTTTTGTTAAGATTCTTGTCCCTTTAAATCATCTTGGATTTCATGCCCAATAGCCTGGCTTAATGAGCCATTTAGAACCCCAAGCAGACAGATTATCCTTCTATTCTTGAAAGTGTTGGGACTGGAGATGGTTTTTCTTTTTTTAACTGCCATCATTGTGCAAACTTCTGTGCCACTTTTCAGTCAGATGAGACCATATAATATTATTTGTTTTGAAGTGTAAAAGCCTGAATAGAAAGTGCATAGAAAACTGGAATGAAACCATAGCAGATGCTGCAGGGTCTTCTCAGAAAGCAAGTTGTTGCCTTCAAGTGAGACAACACACTCTTCACCAGATAGCATTAGGGGAACTGGGCAAAACAAAGCCTCTTCAGTTTCCCTGGAATTCTTTGGTATAGATTCTTATTTTTGATTGTCTAGAGATGAGAAAATGTAGCAGTGAAAGACCAGGTGATCTGGCCAAGGACTTCCTATCAGTGGCAGCAGAGAAGGATCCAGGTGTTCCCAATCACCTCACTTACTCCAGGTGGGCTCTGTGGTGGCTAAATGAATCATCACAGAGAGAGTGAGATCTCAGCCTGAGCCCTGCAAATGTTCTCCCATTCATTAAAATATGTGGTTCTCTCCCAGATCAGAGCATTCTGGAAAGTGTTACTACACCACTGCAAAAAAAAATTTCCAGGTGTGGGTGTCTGGCACCAAAAATAACTTCCAGCCACTGTCTGGCAGCCCCCTCTGAGACATGTGAAGCTCCAACACCAGTGAACATCACAGTGGCACGTGCCCTGTTTGGGGAACAGCTAACATCTTTGCCTCTGGTGACTCCACAGGGCTTTGGGTACCAAACCTTCCTGGATCGAAGGGCTTGTCCAAGCCATACTGCACACCAGCCAGGTGAATGTGATTGCAGTAGACTGGGTTTATGGGTCTACAGGAGCCTATCCCTCTGCAGTGGAAAATGTCACACAGCTGGCCCTCACCATCTCACAGTTCATCAGAAAGCTCCTGGTAAGCTACTGTGCATTTCCAGTGCAGGGAGCATGGCCAGGGAACTGCTCCCAACCTGCTCTATCCAGGGGTTGGACAAGTGAACTTTTTTATTCCAGATTTTTTCTTTTTCCCTCTCCAAATCCAGGCTTGAGCATGCTAGCATTTTTCTTCTTCCTTTGGAGTTTTGACATTTTCTGGAAAAAAATTCCCAGTTGTCAGCTGCCTCTCCAGTTCAGAGCAAACCTAAAACCTACCTTGGGTCTTCTCAGATCCATATTTACTGGACAGTCTTCTTCTGCTGAGAAATTTTGTCCAGGAAGCTAGAGGGAGTGAGATTTGAAGCTATATTATATTTGCTCTGGGCTTCAGATTTACTTCCCAGTATGTGAAAATACCCAGATGTGTCCCATTCTGTTCGTGCAAAGCACAGCTGAACAAGACTTCTGCAATCAGGGTGATGAATCCTTGTAAACTCTCCATGTAATGGAGATGTAATCCTTGTAAATGTAATCCTTATAAATGTAATCCTTGTAAACTCTCCATGAAATGTTTGCGGTGCTGACCAACCTGTTTAGGGCTGGGTTTGCATCTGTGGACTTGAAGAAAGGTCCTAAAAAACAGAAAGTGCAATAGCCATAATTTCCTTAAGTATTTAGTTTCCCACTCTACACCTCAAAAGCAATCCCACATTAGGAGAGTTATAGAGCTGCTGGGTGGGCTGGGACAGGGTATTTCACCTTTCTGCTACAGAAACAGTAATTTGGATTATTGTCACCCTGCAGGCCCTGGGAGTCTCAGGGACATCTATCCACATCATTGGGGTAAGCCTCGGAGCACATGTCGGGGGCCTGGTGGGGCACTTCCATGGCGGTCACCTGGGACGGATAACAGGTATCACCACACTGAGCCTGGGGTCCTCACCTGCCCTACAAGACAGAGAATGAAAGAGGAAGAAAGGGGAGTCATTCAGAGCAGTCTTTTAATTTCATAAGGGCTCACTAGATCCAAGCTTATGGGCTTCTTCTTACATTCTGACAGCGCCTTTCCAACATCAGTCCCCTCCATGCTGCCAAAAGAACACAAGTATTTGTAAAAACGTCTTTCCACTTTTGCTACACTCTTTGCTCAGCAAAGTACAAGCCCTCATGACTAGTGAAAGCCCACAACACTCATAAGCTTTGCTTCCAAATTACAGCATGCACATGTGGTTCTTAGAATTAAAGCCCACAATGCAGTTGTGGGGGGAGAGCAGGAGTGAGCTGCTCTGCAAGAAAATGTGAGCTGACAGCCAAGGGGACAGTGAGGTGGGCAGTGGCCCCACAGACAAGGGATGCAGTCCTACTGTGTCTGGGCAAGAAGAGCAGTCCAGTGACAGGAACCAGGGTCATTCAGAGTCTAGTTTGTAGTGATAAGGCAAGCCCAAGGTCAAGCTTGACCAACAAGGCAAAGGCCAGGTCATGGCATCCCAACCACACAGCTCAGGCAAGGAACAAATGCAAGAGCCTGAGCCAGCGCTGGGAGGACCCAGATGAGGCTCCTTGATGTTCTCCCCGACAAGTTGGCTGTTTTCACAGTAGGCTGGTCTAATGCCACCCAACTGTACCAAATCAGAGCTGACCTTAAACACAGCCAGACTGTGAAGAAGAGGCTCCACTGAGGGAATTGCAGAGCAAAATGGTTATAGGTTAATCCTGTCATTTAGAGGTTTTGGTGCACTCAGGACCTGTTCAGCCTTTAGGTATGAAGCATGAATAAAGTTACAGAATCATTTAGGTAAGAAGAAACTTTGGACAGTCACACTAGTCCACACACCACCATCACCCCTCCTCAAAGTGGGGCTGCATTGTATGTCTTATCAGACTGTCAAGGGTTTTACTAAATTCTGGGAATCCCCAATGACAGAGATTCATTTTGATGGGAGAGGAATGCCACTAAAAAGGAACAGACAAAATCTCCAGCAGTGTGGCCTCAGCTCTCAGTCATGCTGGTCTGTCTCATAAAGGTATCCTCAGGAAGGGTCTCACCACTCTTGGCTGGGCAGTCCAGAGAAATGTTGGTTCAGTTTTCACAGCTACCCATGCTGCATGAAATACAGGCATTTCTTAACAGGAAGTGAATTTCATGTTGAGCCCTTGTTAAAGCTGGGCATCAAAGTTTACATTAGGAGAAAATTGGAGTAGCATTTGTCCTGCGCCAGAATTTTATGATCAGTGATGTCTTCAGATGAGCAGAAGCAGACACATTTCCATGAAACCATGATAATTAACTTCAGAGTTAAACACTCTTCCTCTTTATGTTGTCCACATGTAATAGAAGCTCTGTAGATTTATTTGTTCCATTTTAAACTCTGTTCAAATACAATCCCTTTTCCACATTCCTGTTAATCCTGTGATTTTATAGGCACACTGAGAATTGCAGATTCCAGTTCAGCTTTAGAAGCCTGAAGACATGCTGAGTTAGACCCAAGATATGCCTGATCTCATCTCCTGCCTCCTCACAAATTCCTCAAACAGGAATTTGACCCCTGAGCCACAATTTGCTGAAGTGCATGTTCACATTAGGTTTCTGCCTCTTCACTAAGAATTTTATGCTACACTAAATAACAATTTTCAGTATCTTTTAAAGGTTTTAACTACAGCTTGGTCTGTAGAAGTGAGTGGGGAACCTCTCAGCTTTTTGTGCATATCAAGATTAAAGAGCATTGCAGTCTTATTTTTAGCTTTTTAGCTTATTTTTAGCTCTCCCCTCACAAATGCAGACATGCCCATTTGTATATTGTTGATATTGCCTTTTCCACACAGAATTAATGAGACTGAGTCCAAAACTGTGAAAGCAGCCAGTCCAATACGTGGCATGTGGAACAGATGAGCTTCCTAAACTATCGTTGCCTGGGGAGTGAAAAAAAATTCTTGTGAGGTCACTTTTCTATAAAATGGGAACAGGATAAACCTCAGGAAAAAAAAATTTAATCTGCTTCTTGGTATTGCCAAGGATACTTTTCTGTGTTCCTTTGAGTCCACTGAAGTTGCTCTAGGAGCAAGTTTTAGACAAAAATGTAGATAGTTGCTAAAGACTCAATTTTATTTGTGGAGAAAGGGCTCAGAAGCCTCTTTGGTTTAAAATTGTTAGGTAGTATGAAACTTCTATAATTCCTGAGTTGGTTAATGCCTAGGGTGCTGAATTCACCACCTAACTGCTGATCTGCAGTGACATTTCTCAGACTGTAGTGCTAATACACACAACAGTACAATTTGGGAAGGCATTAAAAAGTTTGATTCTCTTTCACCAAAACTCCAAGAGACACTATGTCAGAGCTATTTAAGGCTCAGTCACCTTTAGTTAAAACAATGCCAAAAGGTTATGGAACAGCAGGGACAATGCAAGGAAGCTGTAGTGGAAGTTGGCACTGGCAGAAACTATTCTGGAGCTTAATCGCTGAGGCCTGACAATAATTTATTACATCTGCCTAGCACTATTTTTAAAGTTCTAGATAAAATAACTGGTCCAGAAATAAGAAAGAGAGGGGCTGAGGAGTACTTGTTGAGGTGTTTGATTTTGTTACAGCCCTGGATCCTGCAGGCCCTAAGTACACCAGAGCCAGCCCCGAGGAACGCCTGGATCCTGGGGATGCCCTCTTCGTGGAAGCCATTCATACTGATGCTGACAGTAAGCTGGCTTCCCCCTTCCTCAGCCTGGCCTTCTGTTCCTCCTGACATCATCATTGCTAAGGAGTCTGTAGGTCATTGTCCCTTTTTTGCCAAACTACTATGAGTTGAAGTTCACTCTGAGGAAGTTTCTTGTTAAGAAAGGCTTTGATGATGAATTTATACCCCAGAGCTCTTCAAACAACAGACAGGAGGAGATTGCTACAGCAAAGTGAGTTTAAGCAGTACCAACTTGGCATGACTTCTACTTCCTGAAGGGAATTTATAGGTCTAGCCTCACTTTGTTTTTTCCTGCCTGATGTAAGAAAGGTTCCACCCAGTCAGAAAGTAACAGAGTCAAACCAACAGCTGGTGCAACAGCACTGATGATCTACATGGGCAGAACATGGGCTAAAGAATAATGTGATGCCTTTGAGTCACATCTTTTGCCTGGAGACCACAAAAACCTCTACCAACACAACTCTCAATTATCCTTCATAATCCCACATTAAGGCTGTGGTCAGTTCTCCTTTACTTAGAATCAAGAGCTAGAATTGCTGAGCTGGTGGTTAACACACAGTTTCCAGTCATTTTGATGGCAGGGCCCAGCACATTTTCTGCTCCATGCATCAAACCTGCACATGTAGAAGCAGGAAATCTGGCCTTGATGTCTCCAGCATTAGCGCTGGCTCCAGTACTACTAATGCTCAACCAATTATTGGGACCTGTCATCAACACATAGGGTAAAGCCTACGGAAGAGCCAAGCCTGAGAATGAAGTGGCATTTGACCTCCTTTCAGATTTCGGGATCCGGATTCCTGTAGGCCACATTGATTATTTTGTCAATGGAGGCAAAGATCAGCCAGGATGCCCCCGATTCATTTCTGCAGGTAAGAACACTCTCTGGCCAAGCAGAGAGCTTTCATGGCCATTTAGCAGACTGTGAAAATGCTGTTTGGCAAGCAGCTCTTGCTACAGCCAGGGCAGTCAGTAAAGCAAGATAAACATATTCACAGCCCACATCTCTTCTCAGCAGTACAAGAAACAGGTGAAATTAAACTCACATACAGATCAAATGTCTTGGCAGCACTGCTGTCAAGAGATGGGATATTGGTAATGCTTCTCTGTTTTACAAAACCCTAGCTTCAGCAGAGATGACACTTTGCAAAAAGCTCTTAGCACTAACAAAAGCTGCTTTTTGTTTTCATGCTGAAAGTTGTGTCTACTTAGAGAGACAGTTCGTACAATTACTGTTCTTTTCTTCTAGAGAAGAGGACTTTCCACAGTAAACAATGTGGACTCATTAACATTCAAATATGTTCTGTATGAGTCAGCTGCATTGAGGGTCAGCTTTCCTGAGATACCTACAGTACCTCATTTCCCATAGCTGGGGTTTCAGCACAGGTGGGAGTCAAAGCCGCTGCACTCCCTTACAGAGAGCTTGATTGATGGCCTGATTGATGGGACACTGACAGAAACAAGACAGCCCTGTGGTCCCTCTCTTCCAAGGGACTTGGTGTGAGAGATAGATACACTTGTAACTTCCTGCAGAACTTTCTTGAAGTGGGATCTGGGCTTGTAGCCACATAAATGCCCTGCAAAATGTAATTAATGGGAAGGCGATCACTGCAGTATGTGTTCCTTCACTCCCAGTTCCTTGGGAATGAGCAAAAAGCCTGAAGCTGACAGGAAGACTCATGGCTGCTTTTCTCTGGTTGATTTTTTCCTTGCAGGCTATAACTTTCTAATCTGTGATCACATGAGGGCTGTACATCTCTACATCAGTGCCTTGAGCCATCCCTGTCCCATCGTGGGGTTCCCCTGTGCAAGTCATCAAGATTTTCTAAATGGTCATTGCCTGGACTGTGCAAAGCCCTTCCTGTCCTCCTGTCCCAGAATAGGTACAGTACCAGCATGAGACCTTCCTGGAACAGATGACAGTACATTCCTGATGGGGTCAGTGCAGAGCACAGGATGTAGTCCAGATTTGTCTGAGCAGGATTTACTTTGGATCTGTTTGGGAAGAGTGACAAGTTGTTTTGTTTCAGGATTCCATAGATGCACTATAAAAACTCATATATTGCCCAGGGTTGAACAGCAAAATCTTGAACACTTTTGATCTTTAAACATTTCCTAGGGTCCAGATATGTGTTGAAAGAGAGTTTCCAGAATCACCTGCCAGAACGAGTAAGGCAATCAGCTCAAAAAAATATCTTGTTTAGAGGACTAGCTGGAAATTTTAGTTCAAGCCTGAAGTTCCAATCGCCTACTACATCAACTACTCAGCATTGCTGAGTCACTTCCTTTCCATAAATTTCTGCCATGGCCACTCCAAAGAGGAATTCTTTGGACTGGGAGAAAGTAATACGTACCTCTTTTAGGCTTCTGAAACTGGGCTGTGGCATGAGGAAAGGAAGTGTCCTCTGCTGCTATTTGCAGTATGGTACCAGAGGAACATAAAGAGAGGCCTTTTTTGGTATTGGTTCTCTCAGATCAGCCACCTCTCCCCCATCTCACCAAACCATTTTGCCAGTTATTCAGTGATGCAGGCCATGAGTTATGGTGGTTTCCTCATTTGACCAAGGAATTCAATTTCCCTTCTGTTTGCACTGTCATTTACATCTGCACTAAGTTTCCTGACTTGGTAGTCTTTAGTCTTGCTCATTTTGCACAGATGCATCTGACAGCAAAGTTTGTTGCAGAGGAATGAAAAGAAAGCCACCAAGAGGTTCTCTGGTGATGATTACCTGGGGTAGCCAGAGGAGGTTTTCTGAGGGAATGTTAACCCGTCAGACACCACAAAATTGTACTTGCTCTGATTTGCACTGGTATAAGAAAGGGACCTGTTCTTCAAGACAGGGGAGTCAAGCAGGGTGAAAAGAAGGTGACTGATATATATTATATTTCTATTATATTTTCTTACTTACATTTTTATTCTGTCATTCATGGCTTTTCCTGCCCTGAGTTTATTTCCGCCCTGCAGGCCTGCTGGAGCAGGCAGGTGTCAACATGAGCAGGTTGCCCCAGGAAGTGAAAGTTTTTTTAATGACCAGTCCTTCAGCCCCATTCTGTGGTAAGTAGCATGAAAGAAAAAGGAGCCAGAGGGGTGTTGGGTAATGAGGCAGATCCTCTGAGGAGCCCAGGTAGTAACAGCACATTACCACATCAGAGTCAGCTGCTGTGGGCCACGGGGTCTGAGACACACCACTGAAGAGCAATAACCCTGCACATCTTCTCCATAAAGCCTATCCAACAGACTTTTTTTAGTGTGGGCACAGCCCTGAACTAACACAGCCACATGTGTTTTCAGGGCTGAAGTAAAAGGGATTGAAAATGCCTGTCTGTTCACACTGGGCTATACAGACATGCCCTCTGTGCCTCACATAGCACAGAAACTTGATTCTCTCTTATGTTTGTTTAATCTTTTCTGCTGGTGGGGCCAGGGAATGAGTGCTCTTTTGTCATGGGCAGGTCCTACAGAGAGTATGTGTCCTCACACCCACATTCTTTGCTTCTTGCTCAGTATACCACAGCCTGGTTGAGTTCCAGTTGCAGAAGAAAAGAAACAGAGTCACCAGCATTGAGATCAGTTTCATCAGCAACAGCACCAAGGACACAGCGAAGATCACCATGTGAGTGACAGGGCATGCTTCTGGCCTGTTTTTTCCCAGCTCCATGAGTAAGGATGTTTATCCTAGGAAAAGCACAGCAACAGTGTATTTCCCTGAGTGATGAACCACAATCCTGTTTCTTAAGTCCCTCCACATTTTCCTTAAATGCCTTCAAGAATCAGGCATGTGCTACCATTACTCAGTAACCCTGACTGGGTCCACATCTTTCCCAAGTGCACAAAGCAGCAGGAATGCCCTCGGAGCCCCAGATTTGCATATTTTTGTGTGGCTATACCGGTTCCTTTTCCACATCATACCCTGACCTGGCTTCACATAAACTGCAATCACTGTCAGATAGTTATTAGTCCTGCTCTGGCAGACAGGGGTGGCTTACAGCAAGACCCCAATCCACCAGAGGCTCCAGAGGGATGGACTTGGTGGCTTAGACATATCTCTTGATGGCCAAGAGGGCAGCAGTTGGCAAGAGGAGACAAGTGCACTTCAGCACAGTCAGAAATGTGTTAGTACTTGCTGCCTCTGCAGTAATGCAGCAATGCTCTCACTCCCATTGCAGGCAAAAGCAAGGGGCAGATGACCAAGATCCACTGTGTAGACAGAAAGATGCCTCTTGAAAGCACCACCCTCCACCAGACTGTCTGAATTAAAAGATCAGACTCCACAGCTTCCACAGATCTTGCCACCAGGGGATCTCCCCACCACAACAAGTTACCCAGAGTCTTCCTCACTTCTTCCTACTCCTTGCCCATTGCTCTGGACTGGGAACCACAATGCAGCTAACACATGCTGCTGGCTGCCTCAGGAAGCAGGAAAGCAGCCTGCTAAAGAGTCCTAGCCAGCTCTCCTGGGATCACAGGGGTTCCAGTGCTGGCTCCCACACAGTCCTTACTGCTAAGCCAAAATATTGTGACGTGGGCCTAATTGTGTTGCTGACTCAGTCATGGGCACCAGGAGGTAGTGCGGAGAAATGGGGAAGGGGAAGCCACACTCTAAGGTACTTTCCAGAGTGACGCAGATGCTTGGACACAGATTTCCAGCCAGGCACCACAATTTGGGTTGGTACTCCAGCCTGGTGGAGCTCAGTCTGTTCAACTCCTCCTGGTTTGGAAGCCAAATGTGCCTTTTTCACAGATGCAGGGGGGAAGAAATAGTAATGCCCAGGTCAGACCAGGACCCGTGCAGCGCTTCCACTGGCAGTTGTCAGACACTAGGTTTGGTGGGAGTCCAGCAGGAGGCATGTGAGCGCTGGAGAGAAAGGAAGTGAGCCAGGCAGGCAATCCCGAGGCTTTGCTGTACCCTCCGGTTTTAATGAGACAGTGGAGTTAGAGCAGGGTAACCTATCCAGAGATGCCCTGCGGGGAGGTTGGGGGGGGAGCAGCAGCTGTGTTTCTCTTAAATGCCTTTCTTAGAAGCACAAGGCTAAACTGCAAAATTTGCTTACAGCAATAAACCTACAGACTTGACAGTAAAAAACTGAAGATATCCCTTGTATTTCCCACTAGCAGCAAAGGGCAAATTTCCCAGCTGTAGGCAAAGCTCAGCCTTCCAGTGTAGTCAAGTTCAGAGTATCAAATGGGCATCTAAACATAGATCCTCACATCACAGTTGAGACACTGATTGATCAGTGATCTGTCATGTATATCATCCTGCAGTTTCCCAGAAGTGCAGAGGGACTTACTTGGGAGTGTTCAGCTAGTCTCAAACCTTCAGCAAAGGACTCACATGGGTTGTGTCTTGCCTCAAATTGCCCTTCTTGTCTCCCCTCCCAAATACCCATTCCAGTCTTACTCCTCCCTACATGTTGCTCAGAATGCCTCAAGAGACATGTCCCCAAGGTTCAGTAGCTGACATGGGCCTGATGAGTGAGGAGTTTGTTACACCGGACACTTCCCAGCTGCACTGCTGTGTGCTTGCACATCACATGACATCATCCCCCACATCCAAGAAAACATACCTCTAAAGTCAGCCAAGTCTCATAAATCCATCCAAACGTTGTGCAGGATTGGACCAAGTGTCAGTCCCAGGAGTGGCTCTTTCAACATGCTTAACTGTACTGCATTCCTCTATCCGTGGAAAATATGCCATAGAAAGATGGCCTCCATTTGCTATCCATTATTCACTTTTATAACTACAATTTTGCCATGCTTCTTATTTTTAGCAGCTTCAAGCCAGACACAGACACACAAAACCCAGCAACTACTGCTGCAGTCTCAGGGAGGGACTGGGTGTGCCGGTGTGGATTGGCTGCTGTGAGTGCTGCTGTCAGCCAGTGCCTGAGAGTTTGGTTAGCAGAATTATAGGCTCTTCCTGAACCTTTTGACACCACTCCCCTTTCCCTGCCATCATGTTGCTGATAAGTCATCCAGGTGGTTCTGGGACCGTGCCAAGCCAGCTGCACATGTCATTCTTCATGAGCACAAGGAAATCAATGATCTCCGTGCTCAAGGAGGTGCCAAGTAGATCAAGTGCAAGGCCCCCTGGATGGACTCCATAGAAGGGACTTAAAATACCTGGGCAGCACAGATCTGTGACACACAACTCACTGGGCTCTGTTCATTGTCTCATTACCAAACCTCTGTCATTTCTCAGTTCACATTGCCTGGGTAAGAGCATAGGACAGACAAAGGTCCCTCTATCCAAACATCCCACCTTCAACATAACCAAAAGCAAGTAACTAGAGAAGAGTATAAAAAAATCTCCATGTAAGCATGTAGCAATACTTCCCCAAAGAGTTTCCCTCTGTCTAGTTACAGCTGAGGGACTTTCAGAGCCAAAGATGAGGACTTTATCCTTACTAGCTTTTGTATTCCACAAACCTGTCCAGTCCCCCTCCCCTGACTTGTGCGGTCATACAAACTTCCTGGCATTTCACAACATCCCAAATCAAGGATTTTAACAGCTTGAAAGGAGTGGTACTCTGTGCAGTGGGTATTCTTTTTGAGCCTGACACCTCTTAGCTTTCTCTGAGGACCCCAGTTTGTGTACTGATTCCCACTGATCCCCATCCATGCTATTCACCATTTCATAGATGTTGACTTATCTATTACTTACCCCTCTGTGGCAAGCTGAGCAGTGTTGCAATCAATATGCAACAGTAAGAAGAGTTGGTGATGGAAGGAAGGATATTTATACAGCAATATTCCTGAATACAGAGATCAAGCATGGAGAGACAGCCTGTAAGATGCTCATGCAATGCCTTGTTTTGACAAATGAGTCTTCTCACTCCATTTTATTATGTGAGGGCTTCCCAATAATACTGCAAATTCCTCCAGTGTTTCCATGGATCTGCACATGGACTGTGTCTGCAGGTTGACATCCCTCATATCTCTCATCCTGCCTTGCAGACCTAAGGACCAGGAGACAGGCAAACGGCTGCTGGCCCACCAAGTTCCCCTCTGCCAGATAAACAGTGTGACCCTGAAGTATATCCCCAAGAATTTTTTTTGGAGCAAGGATGAGCCATCCATTGTTGGCAAGTTCTGTTTAGCACCACTGCCTCTCAATAGCAGGTAAGCCTCAGCAATGTCATACAGGAATGCACTGAACCTATGGATGCAGCTTGTGGTTTGAAGCAGTGCATATTACCCTCCTATTTAGGGAGACACTTTAAGAGGTCTTTTCTATCACCTCTGTGTCCATATGTAACTAATTTTGTGTTTGTGAAAGAGAAAAGCTACAAAGGTAGTTTTCTAGGAGCTTTCTAAAATTCTTTCCCCAGGATAAAAGTGTCGTGCCATGGAACTGCAACTCACATCACCTTGAAGATACTTACATCACAAACCATGGCAAAAGCTTGTACTAACTGGAATTCTTTTGTCCTTGTTTGCCCTCTCCATCTTCCCCTGTCTACAGTGGGCCTCCATCTAAAACATGACAGGTGAACATTTTTCAGGATGAGACAACAGAGGACCAATAATAACCATTTTGGCATTTTCTAGGTCAAACATGGTAGGGTATATACCTTCAGCCATAGTTACCTTTCCTGGAGTAAAAGCAGCCAAGTCCTTCTCATCCTGAGAGAGATAATTGTCTTCTCCATAATACAAAATTCTTGACAGGAGTCTTGCAGATCCAAAGTTCTTGCAGGGAGGCCAAAACAGCTGGGTCTACACTGAAACATTAAACTGTCCATCCACATTTCTTCTGAAATGCTGGCTCAAGGCTGAAGCAAGCTACTTCAAAGCAGGTTCAAATTATGTTTTGTTGGACAGGAAGTTCTAGGCAGTAAAAATATATCCAGTAGACCCAGACAGGGGAAGAAAAAAGACAATCCTATATAAATACCAGGTACTCCCTTGAGTATAAGGACTATTCCTTACTAGCACCTGTTGCACTCCAGAGTTGGGATGGAGGTGTTTTTGTCCCTTATGAATGGGACAGCAAGGGACATTGCCTGAAAGAGGTGCTAACCTGCACCCCTGGAAGCACTGGACTTGGCTTTGATACAGGCAGAAAGCTGTGGAGTTGCACAGGCTCACAGCTGTGCTCCTGTCACTATGCTGGGAGCACTCAGAGCAACAGTGGTGCTGCTCAGGTCAAGGGGAAGGTGAAGGACACAAGCCCATGCCATCCTTCCAGCCAGTTCATCCCAGCCAGGGCACAGCACCCCATTCATTATCCCTTGCAAAGCAGTGCAGAGTCCAGCACTTTGCTTGCTTCTGTGTTAGGATAGGAATCTCCACCTGTCAGTGCCCAGCCTGACTTCTCTGTGCTCTTCCCACAGCAGGACAATGTCATGTCTGCCCTGGAGCCTCACCCTCCCCAGCAAAACAGACATCTCCTATGAGTTGCCTCCTGCCTGTGCCTAGCCCTGCCTTCAGGGTACACAGAACCAGAAAGGAGTCCTAAACCTATTGCTGCTCTCTGCTCTCAGATGATACTTTCACCATAAAACTGGATGGGTTTTGTTACTCCCTGCATAAGGGGCAAGATGTCAAGGAACTGAAGTGCATGGCAGATTGACAAATACAAGGTTAACTGGTTACAGCAAAATCTTCCAGTTAAGACTGGATTGACACTTTTGTCTCACAAGTTCTGTACCCAGCTCTCAAAGTGAGACAAGAAAGTAATTTAATCTCAAGGTTTGAATCTGTATGAAAGTAGGATTGGATAATATCACTCATTTTATGGTGGGAGTATTAATATAATTCATTAGTGTTTTATATTAAACTGTCCTGAAATCTTCATATTAAAGGTGAGAGGTATTATTTTTCCTCAGCAAGGGCACATGAAGGAGTCATTCTTAGCCAGAGCTCCAATGGGAAACTCACTGGTCCCATCCACAAGGTGCTTTCAGAGGGAGACCCTATTGATTTCACAGCACATAATTCTCTCTGAAGCTCACATGAAGTGAAGCAAACACCAGGAGCAGCACAGAGCTCTCACTTCCAGTTTTGCACTGTTCTCACCATCTGCCCAGAATGGAAGATAGTAGGAGAATGGAGCATTGCAGCCACAGGGCCACCTAACACAAATTAATCCTAGGAACTCAGCACAGCTGTTCAGACCTGAAAAAGTAGGTGAAGTCTGGAAATAATTGGTGAAAGATTACAGTGGATGCATGACCACAGAAACAACACACCCACCCACACCTTTTCCATACCACGATACATATGCAAATTAAAGAGGTGACAAGTCTTTCATAATTTCTGCCCACAAATCACATCTTCTTTTGACTGTTTTCTCTGGTTCCCTGTACTGGCTTCACTGAGCAATAGAAAAGTGCACCAGGAATTCCATAATTGGGGTGAGGGACATGCTAAAAGCATTGAATGATTGTCTCAAGTCATATGCTGTCACTCCTGCTCCACTAGACAGTGTCACAGCAGGATTAGCTCCTGCTTTCAGTTCACATCCAAGATTTTAGCCTTATGACTGTTTGGAAGGACAGCTAATAAACATACACTTGGGAGGGGGATAGAGCTGGACTCTGACAACCTGAGAGAGATCCATGTTAGCTGGCACCATGACTGAAGAGTTTCCTGGGATCTTCTTGTTGAAGACTGGAATATAAGCTCAGCAGACACCTGTGAAGGGCAGTGTGTAATTCAGCCCAGCCTGGTCCACTGCTTCAGGCAGGTGTATAAGCACCTCAGTAGATGGACCCAGTTCCACTGCACATTTCAGCTCCCTTGCAGAAGAGAGCCCAACAGCTCCCATGTCAATCTGCTGCAGACATTTCCGAGCTGTGAAAGGCAGTGGGGTCAGGCTGAAGCACCAATGCATTGACAGAGCATGGTAACAACCATGAGCGGGATGATTCCCAGGCCTGGGGCAGCCCCATTCTCCTGCCCTGGTGTGGCAGCAAAGGCGAGCAGTGCAAGGAGCTGTGTACATCACAGATCTCACATACCCACCACTCCAGAGGCCCTTGGCAAGAGTGCCAGATCCCAAGGGCACAGGTTTTGCCCAGGTGAGACTTGCACAACCAAACCAGACGCTGGGCCACAGCCCCTGTGCGAGCAGGGCAGGGCAGGTGGGGCTGCCTCCACCAGCCCAGGGCTGGCACAAAGCCAGCCCCATAGGCAGAAAGGCTGTGCCCCAGCATCTGTGTGCCAACAGGCACTGAAGGACACCTTTCCCTGTGCTGATGGAAGGACCAACACTCCTTGCTCTTTCCCTGAATACCTGCCCTGGAAAGGCTTCTACTCCCACTGCTCAACTTGATTGCACCAGGCTCTGCGAGGATTCTTCCACAGGTATTTCCAATTCCCTGACTGAGGACATGGCTGGGGAAGCTCATGAGACAAATCCTGTTGCCGCTGGACTTGGAAGAGGCCTTCCATCTCTAGACTATTTTCATTAAGGCATTGTCCTTCCTACCAATGGCTACTCTCTTCACAGATGTTTTGTATCCATTCATTTCTTCATTTGATGTTTGAGCACCTTGAGGTCATGCCCCCTTGAGCACACCAAAAAAAAAGGGTTCTTTCCTACACCTGTTCCCAATCTCAATTCATTCTCTTTCTTATTTCAATAATCAATGCAAACAACTAACCAGAAGTCTTTTTTTCACCAGCTTCTTTGAGAAGTTGTACTTGTCATAAATGAGAAATCCTAACTCCTGGAAAAGTAATTTCTGGTCTTACTAGAGTGGAGACCCAGTGAGATGCATATTATTGAACTCTCCATTGCAAGCCCTTTACCAAAGCTGTCAGGTGGCCCATTTCCCCTTGCCCTATCCACTCTGTGCCTTGAGATCACCTCAAATGATCCCGCTCTTCAAATCCTCCCTCCCTCCCTCCCTACAGCTGTTTTCTCCCTTTTGAAATCCTCAAAGACGAGTAGTTTCATCTTGACTTTAATGGGAATCATTGAATCAAAGGGAACACAGATTCTGCAAGCAGGTTGGTATTGCTTGCAGGATATTGGTGCACTTTGGTGACAGAGCTGCTGATAACCTCAGAGAGGCAGGACTAGAAAACAGACCATGGAAGCACACTGGGGAAGGCAGCTCTGGTGAACAGCCATGGGGTGGGAGGTGCTGGAGTGTCACACTGCAGTCTTAAGCATGTGCTTCATGTGCTCCTGAGTGTAGATATCTGCTGGCAGACGTCTCTGCATGCTAAAGTGTCTCTGGTCAAAAACCTGTGTGAGCATCTGCTCCCTTGGAGGGGCTTCAGGATCAAAACAGCCTGTTGTTCCCTAGAGTTCAGGGGTCTGGGTGGGAGCCAGAGGGGCTCGTCCTTTGCAGAGAGGGTGAGAACTCTGGAGATGGTTTTCAGAGGCTGCAGAAGGAATGAAGTAGAAGAGGGAGGAAAAGGGCAACAGGGAACAGAGGGGGGAGGGAGAGAGAGAAAGAGAGCACACCATTACTATCACACTTTCAAACTTTTCCGAGACACAAACCTCATGGAGCCCACCATGTTCTTCATTACCTGTTCTTCTCCCCTCCCCTCCTAAATGAGCATGCAAAACTATGTAATTCTTCAACAACTGATAAATCAGGAAACAGGTTTATGCACCCATTCTGAGATGGCAAAAACAAACCTTTCCAAAGTGCCTTCGGTGATACTGGTTTAACAAAGCCCACAGCTCCTTTGCTTTTGCTCTCAAAGCAGGTACAAAACATTAACTACTAACTTAGATACCAAGCATCCATCCACCCATCTCACCCACCAAATAGAAAGGCAGCTCCTAGATGTAACTGTAAAAAAACAGGTAGCAACAGCTACACATCCTGCAAGCACTTGATAGCAACAAACTAGAACAAATGCAATCTGAACAGGATAAAAAGCTGGTGGCTCTTGGTTGTTTAAATTTCCTGGCAAGGAATAAAACTTAGTTTTCTCTGGAGCACTGAGCTACACTATACGGTTAAAGCAGTACTGAACAGATCCTTTGAACCTGCCTCCTTCAAACAGGCAGCATCCTCCTTAGAGAATGACTTTGCTCATCAGTGGGATATCACTATCCATCTTACTCATATGCAGACTAGAAACACTTTCAAGGAACTAGATGACATGAATAGTAGGCCAATATATCTTCCATTAATATTTTCTTGCATATGACCTTCGTAGCACTTTGGGCATTCAAGAATTGCCCTCCTGAACCGCAGTGTTGCAAGGTGGCTGTTGTAGTGACAGAAAAGGAAAAGGAACGCCACCCATGAAGCACCTCAGCGCAGAGAATTTAGCGAGCTGCAAGGTGATTACCCACATAGGGGGTTACTGGGAAAGGAGATGAGAGCACAGACCAGGGGAAAGCCCCAGGGGAACTCTGACCTCAGGGACTTTGAAGAATGACACTGCAGGGGATTTCCCTGTTTATATCAGATGTAGGAAAACTTTAGGGAAGTGTTTTACCTGAGCCATGGCAGACCGGCTCCGATTATTTGCTGAGCTGTGACAAGTGTTTGGAGAGAGGGAAAACCTGCAGCCCCTCTGTATCACTAGTTTTTGTGGTGAGGCACTCAAGTCCCTGTGGAATATTGTCCAGATGTGACAACTGCTGCTGTGCTGCTGGGATGTGATGTGGGATGTGATGGTATGTGCTGGGATATGATGTGGTTAGGACATACAAGTGCCAAGTAGGGCAACAGGGAACCTCTCATTCCACCATTATGAGCACACTAAACAGAGTTTTTGATTCCTTGTCTAATTACCTTAAAAATTAAAATACCACACTGTCTATTGTCTTCAGACTGACAGACATGGAAGATCATCTTTCTCTCCCACCTCAAAATACAAGCCTCTAAACATCTGAGCTTTCACTGCAGGTTTCTGCTGCCAATAGCAGCACTCCTTGACACTGTCTCTGTCACAAGATCTAGAAAGACAAAAGCTTCCACCTCACAACAGGTCTGTGTGAAAGAAAGAATAGCTTTTTGCTGTGTAGCAAAGTTTTGCCCAACACACACACTCCCCTTGTGTGTATGTTCACAGTATTGCCTCACTGCCAAAAATGGGTGCAAATTTTTCCAAAAAAGCTACAGTGTTACTTGCCTCCTTCCTTTTTTAGTTGCATTTGACATTCTGGTTTTATTGAGCTTGATTAATTAGAAGAATTAATTAACCAGTGATCTGAGAATGGACATCCTCCTTAGAAGGCAAAATAGAATGAAAGCACAGGCAAAGTACCTTCACCATGTTCACAACACTACTTGCATTCACTTTGATTGCATGTTTTCACAGACACTCTGACAGCTAGGAGGATGGATGTCTCATAAGTGATTCAGTGTTCCTGCCTCTCCAAGTAAGGACTGAAAAAGCTGCAAATTCATATCTCCAGCAGCCTACCAGCAAAACCAGGGGCTTCACATTCCTAGAACAAATGTGGAGTTTTTTTTTTTTTTTTCTCTCTCTGCCTCCTTAAAAAAGAAAAGAACAACTAACTACACAAAACCAAACAACCCAAACAACAAAACCCTAATCAAAACTCTTCCTAACTCTTTATTTGATTCAACCACAAACAAATACACTTGTTCTTTCCTGGGCCACTTTCTTCATATCCCAGATAATATGAAGAATACTGCAGACTTGTCAGGGCTCATGCCAGGAGCCAATGCTCCCTGCCACTGAGTCCATAGCAAAGGTAGAAGTAGACCCAAGCAGGCACAGAGAAGAGCAAAGTGCAATGTTGCTGTGTTCAAGGCTGCCTGATGGAAGGCAGCCACCCCAGCTGCACCCCAGCCCTGCAACTTCCTCCCTGCTATGCAGACCCAACTGAGACACAGGCAGGGGTCACTTCTAGGACAGAAATCCCAGTCCCAAGCTTGTGCCTGGCAGCTGGAATACTGTGGGGGGCAGCAGGAATGCACATTTTGGGGTCTGCAGCTGGTGTGTAGCAGCTGGCATGCAGTGGCTAGCTAAAAGTAGCTCGGGGTGGAATTTCTCTCTTGGCCACTTGGATTTGAATTTCAAGCACAAGACACTCTCCCATCTGTTTCTGTTTGCCTGCATTGTTCCTCTGCCCCAACAGCCACCAGGCAAATGAATGTTTTTCCCTTTTGGAGTAAGGAGTTGGCATTTTGGAAGAGAGAATCTCATTCCCACTCACTGGAAATCAGAGTTTGGGGCATCTTAAAACAATGCTTAGCCTGTCAGTCCACCTAGGGTGACTGGAGGCAAGACCTATTCCACTCAGGGCAGACTTTTCAACACCTTACTGATCTGGCAGAGATGAATCTCAGCAGAAACAAGGAGGACAGATCAAATGCTGGGATGAGCTGCAGTGGGCAGGGAGAGGAAGGACTCTGAGCTTTCTCCTCCTGCCCAGACTGAGCACTTGCAGGGTTTATAGCAACTCCTTGCTACCAATCTGCTGTAAAACCTGGAGCTGTTTCTAGTCCTGTTGGCATCTCCTGGGATGTGGGCTTTCTCACCTGCAGAGCTCTTGCTCAGTTCAGTACTGGAGAATCTCCTGGCATTGCTCTATCTCATGTTCTCTCTGACCACTTGTGTACCACCTGCCAGCCTGGACACCATTTCAGTGTTTCTGCCTCTTTTCAGGGATCAGGAGAGAACTGGGCAGGGTAAGTGCTTTCTATGGCCAGGTTACTGGCCCTTCTACCCTACAGTACAGCTGATGCATGGAGTCAAGCCTCTGCCCTGCTGCTTTTCCTTAGGAAAACCACATAGCTTGAGCCCACCTTCTGGGATTCCTTGGTGCAGCAGGCCAAAAAACACTGCAGAGGTGCAAACCCATGGCAAATGGGGTCCAGCGCTTGTCCTGGCAGATGCATCACGGGAAAGACTTGCTCTGCAAGTGGGTACTTACGTGAGGGTCCCACACAGGGTGAGGTGTGCCCGTGCCAGGAGTGCCCTCACTTCATATACTCCCCTTCGCTCACATAGTCCATAAAAGACCCCGGCAACTCAGCAAAATCTTCCAAGACAAGACTGGTGGAGTCCTCACCCAGCACATCACTGTCGGGCCGGGATGCCCGGGGGCGCGGAGCCGGCGGTGGCGGCGGTGGCGGCTGCGGCGGTGGCTCAGAGACGCTGGCCTGGCCAGAGCCTGGCAGCAGCTCCTCACAGTCCTCCGACTCCCCCTCAGAGGAGGCTGGTCCAAGGACGTGGTAGAGGCTGGGCAAGCGGATGTCGAAGCGAAGGCCAAACTTGGCAAAGAGCTTCTCATTGAGGGAGTAGAGCTTCTCTGAGATGTCATAGCCCAGATGGGAGGAGAAGAGCCGGGCGATGTAGCGGTCCTTCCTCAGGAGGAGATACAGCTTCTTCCTCGGCCAGGTGATGTAGCTGCAATCGGTCTCGGCTGTGAGCGTGACCTGTGGAGTGAGTGGAGTAAGTGCCACTGCCTGGGCAGGGTCACCCACCTTGGAGCCATGTGCTTCACTCCAGGGAATGCCCTTAGCCCCTTTGAATCCTAATCTCCTTGGATATGGTGGGTCTGGAGAGTCAGATTGTCCTGGTTGAATGACTGGATAAATCCTTACCTGCTGCTGTTTCCTCTCCCTAAGGAGGCAAAGACCCCATTTTCCTATGCAATTAATATCATGTCCTCATTTATCCCAGCCACATGGATATCTATGATTCACTCTCTTGCTTCCAGATGATGCTCCCTATTGACATCTGAGGGATGTAGCTGTAATGGACAGGGCAGCACTGACACCCTTATCCCTCAGAAATGCTACAGAGGGGGATATTTTTTGCATGCCCAGTCAGTCTGAACTGCCAGCAAGTAGCCCTGGGGGAGGCTGCTGACCTATTCTGCTGCTGGATTGCACAGCCCCACAGGCCCTGCTCCAAGAAGGCCTTGAGTGTTGGAAGGGCCATCTGAAAGGCTTGTCTGGTCATCCTGTGCGCGAGGGACATCCTGTCTCAGCAGTTCCGCTGGACTCTATAGGGCTGAATGGTCTTGAAGGACATTGCAGCACAGCTCAGTGAGAGGGGAAATAAAAAGGTTTTATTGTGTTTGTATAGATGAAGAAAACTCGTGAGGGTTTATTGGATTGATTTTAGAGAACATTTCATTTTCCTGCTGGTTTTGCAGGAAAATGAGAGGGGTAAAGAGAGACCTTTTCCCCCTAAGTATAGAACAAGAACAATTTCAGTCAGAAACATTATATAGTATGGAAGTGTATATTATAATAAATAATAATAATAAAGACAAGAAATGCAGGAAGGGTCAGACTGCCCTGGGCCAAAGAAGAACATCCGAGTGTAATGGAGACACTGGCATGCGAACAAGTGCCGGAGCCAAAATATTCCGGGGGCTCCCTTTCACTCTATGCCCAGGGGTCTCCTTGGTCAGCCACCATGGCAGAGGGCCACTGGGAAGCTGAACATGGCTTGGCGGCATGTGTGTGTCCTTGGGTTTGATATTTAATGCCATTGCCCTGCAAACAGCTGTCTGATGAAAGAAATATAGGAGATAAAACCTGAGAACTTTCCCAGGCCAGGCAAGCAAAAAGAAGGGCCACACAGAAATTGAAATGACTGGAATCTCGTTTTCCTAACCAACCTCTGGCAGATGGATCAAAAGTGATCCCTTTGTGTGAGGGACTGAGATGCAATAACCAAACTTGCCACCAAACCAGGACAGCAAGAAATATTTCACTCTTGAATCCCCCCTGACACAAGTGCTCTGGCATCAGCAAGAGCCTGTAATTCAGCCTTCTGAGGGAAAGTGCCAGCCCTGAAACCAAACTCCTTCAGGCACTGGGACCCAACAGTCCTGTGGGAAGCAGACAGCCAAAGCAGAAAGCTCAAGGAAACCAACTATTCTCGTAGACTGAGTCATGCTTCTGCCATTTTTCAGTGGGCTCAGAATTGAAATTGTTCAATCTGGAGAGTCACAGGCAAGAAAAACCTCAGGCAAGAAAAACCTTCCATGCCTTCCTCCAGCAAAGACCCAGAGTCCGACATGCACTTTTTAAACCAAATTATTGTCTTGCTAAGACAAGGTTGAGATAAGTTACAGAGTTTTATTAACTAATTGGTTGAGAGGGACTAGTGTGTTAAACAGCTGCCAAAAGCAGCACCTTGCCATGGTTCAGCATGGCCACCAAGAGTAAGGTCCTTCCAGGTACACGGACTGGTCAAGCAACACCTGATGACTGCTGGTCTCACACAGCTGCTACTTCTTCATGCTCCTCGGTAAGCACATGTATGTTTAGGCATTTGTAGCATATAGCCTTCCCTACCTAGGGCTCTACCTCCCTATCCTGATGCCAGGCACGGCTGACCTCACTGACCAGCCTGTCCTGCAGAGCAGGAGATGTGCCAGAGAGTGGTGCTGGCAGGGCTGGTGCAGCCTGGCCCCAGCCTGCTCCCATGCTGTCTCACACACCACAGATGAAGACCCTCAGGAGGTCTGGGAACATTCAGTTCCACAGAAATCAGCTCAGAAAATGCTGTGGATGTCTTTGCAGGTTGCATGCCTGCAGTCAGCCATTGCAGTCAGCCATTTCCCTGCCTGAAGCACTGGGCAGCCATCAGTCTCCCTGCCTGATTCTTGGGCAAATACAGCCCAGGAGCTAGCAGCAGTCTGCTTCCAGATTGAAGACCTGTGCAAAACATGAGATACCACCAGCCCTAGCACAGCCATGCTGTTGTTGCCTTTTCTACTTCATTACCTTGGTCCAACATCCCTATTTCTGCTCACAATCTGTAGCCCTGTGCCACAGTCACAGCCAGCTATCTCCTACATCACTGGTGATGGCACTGTTTTCAGGAACAATCACCATGAACCTTTCACACATGAGCCAAATTCAGACCCTAGGAAAGCAGATTTGGAGAGCTGCCCTGGTTTAACCAAGTCTGCTTGGGGCTACCTACCCTCATGAGAAAGCATTATTCCCTCATGACCCTCCCATGCTCCCAAGGGATTAGCAAAATCCCTCCTCATATGCCCCAATTGACATAATCAGGATTGACATCCTGATAGGTATCAGGCCATCCTGGGATGTGTGTTAAAGACAGAGGGATGTAGGCTTAAGTAATCTTCTCCAGAAGAAAAGTCAAACGCTGTGGGGTGTTGACAGCAAGGCCAAAATCCTTTCAGTTACTGCAATTGAGAGTTGGTCTGGCCTCTCAGCAGGGGAACCTTCTGCTCAGAAAGAACCATATTTGGGTGTGAATCATCCTTTCTGCTCCTCCACCCAAAACACATGACCATCAGAAACTTCAGTGAGGAACAGGATGTTTATGGATTTACATCACCGCTGCACATTGCCATGGCTGCCATTGTGATGCTAGGACAATGCACCCTGCTAGCAGTGTGCAGGGCAAATGCATCAGTACAGGTACTAGAGAACATGGTAAGGGAAGAGAGCAGGTAATCTGACACCTTGATTCCCTGATAAAATGGAAGGAGCATGTGAAAAATGCATATTTTATGATTGGCTTTTCACAAATGTTACAATGAATATTATATGTGTAATGTTAGAAAATTGTGCTGTATTAATTCTCTTAAGTAATGTGTTAAATGTAGTTTTAGGCTACAACACAATGTTGAAATAGAAACTCTGCGATGTAGGATTTTTTTACTAGCTCAAGCAAGAGATGAGATAATCAAGAAACTCTTCACACAGAGATGAGAGTGACTTAGGGCCCATAAAGAGTTACTGCCTCCTTTCCACCTTCTCTCCATCTTTGTAGAACCACCAAGATTAAGGGGAAGAAGTTGACAAAACCCAGAAAAGTTCTTAATTTGCAAGGAATTCATGCATCATATATGAGATATATGAATATGCAACAGGCTATTGCTTTTAAGGTTATTCCTTTGTTCACAAGGGATGCTGTTCATGACTTAGTGTCCAAGAGCATCCGGACGTTCGTAATTCTTTGCCTTTTATTGTCTTGTAATTGTCCTAACTCTAAATTTTATTACTTTAATTGTATTACTATTTTTATAACCATTTTATTATTATTAAACTTTTAAAATTTTAAAAACCAAATGATTGGCATTTTTCACAAAGCATCATGCTCCTCCCTCCTTGCTATCAGTAGATAGTAGGAGCATGCCCTGAGGTCTTCAGAACAAGGTAGGAAAAAAGGTTAAACAGCTGATCACACAATCCTGTGCTGGCTAAACCACCATGAAGGGGAGGAAAGTATTCCTGGTCAGCTTTGAATGGTATAATGAGACCTCTCTACCACCTTCTCAGACATGCAGCAAAGGACCAAGGAGAGAAGCTGAGCTGCAGTTACCTGGAAAGTTCCTTCCTCAGAAGGTCGCAGAGACTCCCATTCTGGAGAGTCCAGGAACTGGTATGGAAAGACATAGTGAAGGAATTGTCCATCCTGGCACACTCGGATCCTGCAGAGGACAGGTGAGGCAGACAGGCTTAGGCCACAAAACAGATGTCACACAAATCTGATAGCTCAAACAGTGTGTTCCACCAGGGAGGAAAGAAATACTTGTCTCACACATGTCTTGTACCCTTTTGGGACAGCTGCAGGTGCTTTAGTGATGAGGCTATCCCTCCTTTCTCTGTGGAAAACCAATTGCTGCCACTTCTCCATACTCCATCTGTGTTGTTTCTTGCTACAAAGACAGCCCTCACAGGTGCATGCTTGGTCCTAACCCAGGACTTCTCAGCCCACAGGACTGCTGCTTTCTAGGCACTTCTAAGCCAGCCTGTGGCTCTTTGTACTTGTATCTTCCTCCTGCCTCCGGGACTGCATGAGAGCATTCCCAGTCTTGGTACTGGGAAGTCACTACGCTCAGGATCCCACAAAGTCCCACTGCCCGTGGTTCCTCACAGATCACCCTGGGAGCTCATAGTTTGCTGCACGTTACCACTCACTTTCTCTTGGCCTTCCAAGTATCCTTTTTGCCTACTTTTGATACAATTGCCTGCCAGGTCAAGGTCAAACATGCACTGAGCTCTGTTGTGGGAACAGAGAAGGACCTGCACAGGCCTGAAGCAAGGACAATGCCAGGGCACTCTGGAGTTCTATTCATAGCCCTGCATCACCAGACTTGCGGCCTCTTGCTTTCCTGTCACCATGTACCCCTGTTGTATGATGCACAAAGGCAATTCTTGCCTTCAGGAGTTAAAAGATTTTGTTCCCCTTTGGCTTCTATCAGCTGTCAGTGCTGCCTGGAAGGCTCAGGGATTGTAAGGCACATTTCCCAATCCAGGCATATTCTGCATTTCTAAGACCCCACTTGCTCAGTTTAAGAAAGAGCACCATAACAGCAATGCTCTGCTGGTCAACATGGATCTCACAAGGCAATAGAGTGGATACTAGGAAATGTAAATCCACTCCTATCTCCATGGAGTATCCTTTACTTCCCACTGCAAAAGAGAGCCCAACAACTGCCCACCATCACCATCTCACTGTCTGTTGCAGCACTTTCATGCCCACAGAGTAGCATCACATTATCCAGCGCAGGTCAAGACAGCACAGACTCTTCCCCATCAATATTATTTACAGATGCAGTAAACTTCAGAGCCAGCTGCTTACCAGAGATGTTTGGTAAGGTGAAGTGCTACTGGAAACACACATACCAAATATCCTTCCAGTGCTTTGCCATTCAATAACCTGGTGGACCCAGGGTGCTCTTAACACATCTTAAAAAAGGGACCAACATCAAAAAAAGGAAGGTCACAAAGAAGGTTCTTCTTTGCATACTCTCTCACCAGAAAGGATTGGCCACTGCAGTAAAACAGGAGCCCAAGGTGATGCTTTGTATTCCCAAAGGAAAATCCTTGTGAGACACACCTCCTGCAGCTCAGCACTGCTCCTGTTTAGAGATCTTCTTCCTTTCCCATTCTTATGTAACATAAGTGCCAAGTCTCTGGCAGCAGACTGGAAGCCAACACTATTGCTATTTGTATACATCTGGATTTTGCAAATCCATTTAAATTGATATGCTGCTAAAGGCATGCCACAGGATCTCAGGTGAACAAATGCCAGTACTTGATCAGCATAGTTCATTCAATCAAATCTCCAGTGTGACTCTCTAGAGGTCCCTGAGGTTCCCCTTGGTGGTCCAGAAGAAGGAATATCACAAATGCTTGACAGCACAGGGAAAGAAAGACACCTGATTAGGCAGGATCCACCACAGGAAAATACTCTCTCTTTTGATGAAATGGTGCTCAAAGTGAAAAATGTCAAAGCCCTGAGGGTTGGGGTGTTGGGAACTGGAAATTCTCCCTGAACACTACTGGCCAGGGAGAGCCAGTGAACTGAGGCCTCAGCACTCAGCATACTCAGCACACAGCTCATCACATCACAGAGGTGTGCTGGGTACCACCAGAGACCACAGGTCCAGAAACACTTTTCTCCTGCCTTGAGAAACACATTCTCATAGCCATTCTGCTGCCATCAGAAATAAGATCACTTCAAAATGACAGACAAAGGGTAAGGATTCATCAAAAGTATTACAGGTAAGGCTGAGCTGGCCACTTCATTGCCCATAGCTTGAGTCTGCAAACCATCTCCTGAAATACTGTTAAGTCAGAAAAACAAAACAAAACTAACACCCTAAAAAACAAATTTCCCCCTTCCCCAACAAACTGATGCATAACTCAGATCCTTTTCAGAGGAAGGAAACAATCCTCACCCCAGTTTTGACAGAGGGTGATAATACAACAATAAGGCACAGCGGTTTGCTATCAGACTTTGTTCAGAAATGGGAGAGCCTTTACCTGCCAGACAGCAGCAACGAGAGGCGGTCAATGGGCGTCTTGCCCTCCACTGCATAATTCTGGTCTCTGACTAGTGACTGGACCTGCTCTTCACAGCACTTCACGATTTCTTTGTAGACTTCCAGGGGCACCTGCAAGGGCAGGTACATGGTCTTGTAGAGGAGGTCAAACTCTTCTGGGATGGTGTTTCTGCGGAGCCGGTAAGCCAGGTGAGCCAGCTGAAGCAAGCAGGCGAGGACCAGCAGCATGTTCCAGATGAAGATGTCCAGCCCACAAGCGCTCAGCCAGCCCCACAGAGCATAGCAGAAGTAGCCTGGGGCCAGGAGGCCAAAGATATAGAGAGACCCAAAGATGCCACTTCCCCCCATGTAACCCAGGAGGACAATGCAGCTGGCCAGCTGGTAGGCTGCTTCCTCCATAATCTCTTTCCAGGCATCACACACCGGAGGCCGGAGAACAGCCTGGTCCCAAGAGGGGCTGTTTGCGCTCATCCTGCCCCACTCCCCACCCTCCCCAGCCGTCCTGCGCTCAGAATGAATTGTCATACACAAAGGGTGCTGCAGACGCTGGAAACCAGAGCTGCTGGGTAGCTGTTCCTTCTCCTCTTCCTCTTGTGCACCGTCTGCTCCCACAGCAGTGCTTCAAAGTAACATGCTAAAAAAGTGCTGCTGAATGTTTTTGCACCCAAAAAATTCCAAAAGTGTTTGCTTCTTCTCTTTGTGGCTCACAAAGCGTCGGCTGGCCCCCTTCTGATCCACAACAGTGAGAAAAGAATCTGGCAAACGTGAGGCCAAAAGAGCTCAGTCAGAAAAAGAGTCGAGGCCATTAGCTGGAAAACTCACAGACAGGACAGAGATCTCCTTGCACTGCCTGTCCCGCCTGCGCTGCAGCAAATGGAATAGCGACCGTGAGAGAGCAGCAGAGGGAGCTGGTGTTGAGTGTGGAATGTGTATCTCTTGGCAGTGGAACGGAGAGAGACCCCAAATGGATAACCATGTTTGGAATTGAAATCCAAGGAGCAAAAGCAGCGAGGAGAATAGAGAGCAAGCACGCACCCGCTACTTAACATACCTCAGGCAGCCAGATAAGCCCAGCGCAGCGCGAGGAGGGGAAAGGAGAAGGGAAAACAACCAGCTTATCGCGGCAAGCTCCAGTCACACATCGGGCTCTCCACCGCTCTGCACTCCTGCAAAAGAGTGACTTTCACCCAGCACGAAAAAAGGAAAAAGGTCACCCCCTTTTCCCACTGTGGTTCATAACTATGACAAGGACTTAGCAAAGGAAGAGAGGCTGGCTCTCAAATAGTAATTTCCAGGTCCATTACAGCCTTCCCTTACACCAGGGAGCTTCCTCTCACGGGGTGTTTTAGATCAAGGGGCACAAGGAAAAGCTTTGCACAGCCAGAGAACTGTGAATGCAAGGGATAAAACTAGTGCAAATGAGCCTCTGGCACTCAGTTTCATCTATCATGAAGACGAGACTATCCTGCCTGCCAAAAGCTTTGTGAGCGTATAACACTTGGAAGCACGTTTTGTGGGGAAATCCTAGTTGAGGGATTACAGGCTCTGTTGGGAAGCACCCTTGAGAAACATCATCTCACATTCTCATTTTTCTAATAGCTGTTTAGAACCTGCCCCAGACCTTCATTTAGCCCAAAGACGATAGCCAACACTTCCCACTCAGGTAATCCAGGACACAGGCACAAGAGAGAGCCTTTGAGGTCAGTCCTCCATGGTCAGCTACACAAAACACGCATAAATGCAATTCCTCCCCTGCTTCGAGTAATTATCAGTCACACAGGCAGGATCTGCCCCACTGCCAGGATGCAGTTACATTTCAGGCATTGACGCAGCCCACGTGGTCTCCCATCACAGTATGAAGTCAGCCTGCATGGGTCAGTGGGGTAGAGATAGGGTTTCAAGGGTGGTCGTGTTTCAGACCGAGCTTGCAGCTGCCCTGCCTAACATACCATTCCCATTGGCACCATTCAGTTAAAGACACACTGATCGCCTCTCCTAACTAATAGTACTCTGGAATAACTCTGTCTCCCAGGCAAGGCTGCAGCAACGCTTTATGGCAACCTTCAAGAATTTATCGAGGTCTTGGCCAGTACAATCTTATTTCTGCAATGATAAGGCCACGTGCAATACAGAGCTGCATGGCTCCTAAGAGCCATCCTGGCAGGTTGACAGGTGGGAAGGAAAGAAGACAAATTAAATGTTGCACAGTCCATTCAGAAAGGTGCTTTCTGTTAAGGGTAAAGTGAAATAGGGAAACTGGTCTTCAGAGACCCCTTAACTACGTGAAGAAATAAATCCTATCTACTGAAGCAGAACAGCACTCATCTGCAAGAGTTATGGGGAAATTAAGAACTTTCTCTTGACCTTCTCTGCAAAGCAGGACAGATGATCTTACTGCTAAAGCACCACAATAAAAATCTTGGGATCCAGCTTCTGTTTTTCATACCATTGCCATATACTCGCTATATGATCCCGACAACACCTTGTCTACCTTTAGGCCTGCAAAAAAACTGTAAGGAGCCTTCTCTCCAAGACAGGCTGACAGCTGATAAAATGGAGAGTTGGGATATCAAGATTGTGAACACTTAGGAGAAAGATACTTTACATAATATCTATGAGACAAAACTGAACTGCTATGAGAAGAAATGTAGAACTACATTAGAGGAAGCATCCTGAGAAACACCATTGCAATTTCTCCTACCTTTTCATACTACCAAAACCCTTTTGCAGGGACATCAAAGAAAGTGGGGAAAAAAGGAAGTTAATAATTTTGTTCTTCTGTTAGGTAAATTCCTGAGTAAAAAATAAACTGGAACACAGTGTTAATGACTCATTAGGACAAGAAAGACCTTCATCTGACATCTTCCAGAATGCAAATAGTGGTGTTGCAGCGAAACACTGTGGGTGAGGATGACCTGTTGTGATTTCTCTGTGCAAGGCAGACAGGAAGCTTTCAGCCCACAGCAATAATGGCACAAAGCTCTCATTAGAAACTACACAATTTTTCTGCTGGGTCCCAATGTGACATTGTAGAGAAAATGATAAAGCACTTTAAAAGGTAGATCTCGGAGCACACACTAGAGATTAACTTCGTGTTTTCAGACTCAAATTTCTAAAAGGAAGATTTCTAAAGTGATTAAAACACCAAGACTAAATCTTCCTTTCTCCCTTGACAGTACCATGGCCATACAGATAATCTTCACAGCACTTTCAGTTTTCCACCCAGCAAAAGTAAAAAAACTCTCTTATTACCAAAATGGTATTTTATTTTCATGCCTTGCTTTAGATTAGAGTAAATGCCCTTCATCCAGGGATGCTGGTTCCTCCAAGATGAGTATTCAAAAGTCAATACTGATTCAATGGGAAAAGGACATACCAAAGTTTAAAACAATTTGGAACAAAGATGGCAAGTTCATAGAAAACACCTGAGCAGCATTAACACCCTTCCCTGGAAGTAAACACATAACCATTACTATAAAATGTGTCTGTGAAAAACAGAAACACACATGTCAAGCTTTTCAGCACTGAAACAGGCAGTGTGGAAACAGGTACTTCACTGATTTCCCCACTTAGAATGGACTCAACCAGTAGCGCTAAATATTTAGCTCCATGTGATGATGCAACACACGTACAGCCTGCACTATGTTTGGCAAACAAATCCTCTGTCCTTGAGAGCCTCACAACACAGAGATTATCAGTCCCAAATCTCACAGCAGATGAATGACTAGTTATTTTGCCCATCCTTTAGGAAGTCAACAGGTTCACTACTGATCCCATAAGCAGAAAACTAGTTCAATCACCTGTGCTGAGGACACTAACACCTTGGTGGCTTGAAGTCAGAGAGGGCATAATCAAACATCTCTTTTTTGATTTATTATATAGCGCATTTCTGGCATTAGTCTGCAGAACTGTTATCTACACAGAATAAACACTAGCTCCAAAATATACACATTTGATTTACAGCTGTTGGGGAAGGTCTCAAGCCTACTCCAGACAAGCTCACAGTGAATTACAAAGGTTCAAAGATTGCAGGCACTGCATCTAGTTGCGCTGCTCTATAGTTTAGTCAAGTTTCCTGCTACTGACCTGTTTCACACCCTCAAGGTACACACCACCCCATGCAGAGCACTGCCTGTCACCAACACTGTCAGTAAGCATTAACACAGGACCTCCCACTCCCTGAATGAAGCCCTGAATCCACTCCACAGGAATACCATAGTAGATATGAAGCCACTCAGCAAGGAATTTGATTTGACTACAAGGTTTTTCCATTGTTGCTTTAAATGTAGAGTTGTCCAGTATCCTTTCTGTACTTGTTGCACACAAGTACATCAGCATCCCACTCATTTCCAAAAACTTTCTAAAGCACTAGCCATGCTCTTACCCTCATGGAGGTCTAAACATCCCAATTCTTAAGTGAATAGAATTTGTGTAAAATTGTGCAGGAATATTTTTTTTTTCTTGACCTGGTATAAACAGCACTCCACTCTCACTTGGCCACTCCCTGCCCTGCTCCTGTGGCACCATTTTCACAGTTTACGCAGACCATGCTACCACAAAGCTAGTGCTCATCCACCTTTTACCATTCTCTTCAGTTCTTGCTCTGAAACACAATGGTTCGACAAGGAATGACCTTATTCAGGTTCCTACCTCAAGACAATAATAAACACCTAGAAGAACACCAGGTCCTGCTCCTTAAACAGCTACAGTGCCACAGGCAGCTTTGAATACTTTCTGCCAGAGCCACACCTGCATCCCTACTCTGAGGCAGAAAGCCAGCACGGACACAACTCTTGTTTCAGGACAGGACCTTCAGAAAACATTCCCAGAGGAAGAGTCTAAACTCTCCTCACACAACTTGTGAGTCTCAACAGAGGCAGCACCAGGTGTCATATACTAAATATTCCCAGTCAAATGCCACTGCTAGCTCAGGATATGCAGGGCCCAGCAGGCAGAGAAATGATCGTGACTACACTCACCCCTCCAGCAGGATCAAAGCCAGGAGAAAAATCAAGACAAAGCAGATTTTGCCTCTTCAGTTTCTGAAGAGAAAACTCATCAGAAGAAAAAGTAATTAGCGACACCATATTCAGGAAAGCCAGCTCATCACAGGAAGAGTAACACTAGGGTTGCACAATCACATTTTAGGAAGCCAGAAAAGCCCCACTTGTAATAAACCAGAAATCGCACCTAATGTTTCTCTAGATTGCAAGAAGGAATCAAAAGCAACAACTACCATCTCATACAACACTATCATCTCATACAAGTGAAAGAAGCAGCCAGAAAACAAAAGCCCATGTGTGCATAGCACAAGACCAACTCCACAATAACTCAGCATAAAAAAAAGCTTTACTTTCAGGCAAGTAAAAAAAACTCAGCATAAAAAAAAGCTTTACTTTCAGGCAAGTAACCTGTACATAAGTCTCTTGCAGTGACAGGGAGCAGTCCTCTGCTCCCTTTCCCTTGAAGAACTACAGGCTCAAGCAAGTTTGAGGCGGGAAGTACCTAATTTTTCATTATAAACAATCAAGCTCAGGTAACGGTATTCAAAAACCGTCAAAAGAATTCAAACATGGGGAAATCAAATACAGTTTTGACTCTAAGGAAGTTAATTTCATAAGACTGTGGTCTTTGTACAAACATAGTTACAGCTAGTGTCACAAACAGCACCGCAAGCTTCAGCACGGCTGCTGAAAGCTGCTGGAGTGCTATGCTACTAGCATGATTTCACAATTTGCATCAGTGGGAAAACCCACCAAAGTTCTCTCTGTTCAACCACACCACCTCAGTAATCAGTAGGAAGAAAGAGTTCCTACGTTAATGATTAAGCAGGCTTTCCTCATTCTCTCATTCCTGCAGCATGCTGTTTTCAGTAAGGAGGGCACTGTCATTTCTTTACTTAAAAAGAAACAGAAGGCAGGAACACTGGTCATTTTCAGGCTTTTATTAAGAGGAAAAAATATATTTTCTATAGGAGTGGTCAAGAGCAAGCAGTGGAAAAGCTACAGATGTGATGCATACTCTATCTTTAAAGACTCTTCATA